TCGCCATCTTGTTGGATAGCTCTGTGAAAGAATGAGATAGAAGTTCAATAATTTTGGTTTTTTAAGGTATTTGGGAACTTTATTTACTATTATGTTTTGTATTTAGTAAGTTTATATTTATTTTTTAGGCATTAGCTTGATTGCGGTAACTATAATAACATATGAATTCACAAGGTTACATTAGAACATTGGCGTTGCCCTAGCGGTTCGATCTATCTGACCCTGTATTTTATTTTAACGCTTATAATTTTATGTCTCGTTATTAGAAGACATAATATTAGTTCTACTTTATCGTTTTTTGAATAGGATTATGTGGTGTAAGTATTTGTGTTGTATTATTTGTAGGTAATTTTTAAGTTTTTTAGCTAAACTTGTACAATTAATTCTTGAATAATGCTTTATAAATTGTCTGTCAGTTTTGTGTGAGTGTTGTGATCGCTTTTTAATGAAGGAATGAATTGTTTATTTTTAATAGTTTTTATTACTCAGAATTATTAATTGTCAATTTTTTAAATTATTTTTTTATAACCTTTCATGGTCAAAACTATACTAACAAGAAATTTGGTTTATTCAGGATTTAAACTTTATTATAAGACCTGGAATTTTGAGTTGTTTGATATTCTCATTGAGTTGCTTTTGTCAATTACCCCATGTGCCTTTCATTAATTTAAGATAACTACTCAATATTATTTAAGTATGCTCTCTTGTTTTTCAACTCATAATTCTTGACGTATTCACATTACATAACTAGAATATAATAGTTTAATATTCTTTCTGAAACGCTGTCTATGTTAATACTTGATTTATTAAATATTTCCGTTAGTATTATGAAAATATTTACACATAGTTAAAGTTTTTAAGTTTTGGATACTATTTTAACAATTTCACAACTAGTTGAAATTACATCAATTTCACGTGATAAAATGCTGGTGTTAACCATGTTAGTGAGTTGATTAAATTTGTTTGCGCATAGGTTAACTTCATTTCCATTGAGTTCTTTTCAATTGAGGTTGAGTGAGTTATTACAGATCGGTTGCCATTGTATATTCCTGGCTTCGTCGGAAGTCCTTATGCTGAAGGTTTGATGTGACCTTGTTCAATCCATCTAACATTTAACTATTCAAATACTTTCTCTGTATTTCTTTACTATAATTACTGAGTTTATATTCTTTCGTAATTCAAATATAATCTACTCTTATTTAAGAGTTATATCGATAGCGTAATGGCAAAACATGGACGTGGAAAGTACTAATTTTATGGAAACCAGGTTTGAAATTTCCCATTGGTTTATAAATCAAATATAACAAGACTTATAGTATCAAAGATATTCTCAGTTGGAAACTTTAAAGAAAAAAATTCTTAACTTAACAGATAAGTTAAACTTATTTCACATTTATAGTTTTGCCTTTTGACTGGTATCCAGTCATAATTTATGTCATATATAAAATAAAAAGTATGTATATTACTTAGATAAGTAAACCAAGATTTCTGCATGATCAAGATCATTGATTCAAACTTAAAAAACTTCAAATTTTTGTTAATGCTCAGAGGTGCAGTGATGTGAATGAATAAAATTATTTGTGCTGTGTTAGATTTATTTTAAAATGTTCGTATATGCAGTTGTGTACTAAACTAGTTACTTAAACTGCTTAAGTACTAAAGTTTAATACAGAAACTAATGGTTAATATAAGATTATAGTTGCTAACATTACGATCAATTAAATCCAAAATAATATAAAAAAGGCCATTTTAAATAATTATATCTTAACTGTAAGGTTTTATGGACAGACACAGATCTAGAAGCCTTTCACAATAAGAGAAAACATTATGATAGATTGTTCTATACATGCGTATGTTTAAGTGTGCATTCTGGTACCTTTGGCTTTTAGTGATAATACTAAAAATAATATTCCATAAATTATTAAAGGTAATTTAAACCATTTATTATATCTTCGAATATTCTGATTTTTCCTACCAACGATACCCTAAAATTCATATTACATGAGTTTGATATTTTCTATTCAAAAGTTCCTCTACCTTTTTAGTGAGTTTTGTGATTTATTCACATCATCACTTCACGCATCTCTGCGGTCGTGAAGTGGATGACTTCTGAGCCAATGTTGGTTAATAATCGCTTTATTGATTGTTTTTACCTCGTCTAGTCTGATCTTACAATCAAATTGCGGACTCAAGGCCCCCTCCTTTGCCAGCTGGTCTGCCCTTTCGTTTCCATAGATGCCACAGTGTCCAGGGATCCGTCTTCAAGATCGTTGGCAAGTTTTATCAGGCTTTTGCTCCACTTCGATCTGAGTGATAGTAATACTGACACTGCATCAGTAAGGAACACAATTTCTGAGTTTTTGGTCTCTTTAGTATTCTTATTAGTTTCGATGCCTCACATATAGCTTCTTGCTCTTCCCGATAATTGGAAGAAGTGATGCCTGTTGATGAAGTATGCTTTGCCGTTTTAGCTTGTTCATATTCATTTCTTTCACCCTTTTCTGTAAGGGATGATTTGGAATGGATTTTGCTTTTTCATCTAGGTGCAAGAGTTTCACATCTCTCCTATCCTTGATTGAGAGAAGTTTCGCAATTTCACTCCATTTTTGCAATATTGCATCATTGCTCCTGTTATAATTCTTAGTCCTAATCAGCGATTTAAAAAAAAAAATCGATAATTTACTCGAATTCTGTTTTATTTTGCATGAATTTTTCTATAATATGCCAAACTATCAAATGATGTATTCTGACCATTTGAGTCTATTTCATTTATCACAACTTCCCAACAATATGATTATTAATAGTCAGCTGAAATTCTTTTCTAGATGAGTGGGCTCATTCTGTTTACTTTAACAGAATGAAATCTGAATCCGGTATTGGATTTCAAATTTTCTGAGAATCAAATGTAAATGTTTTAGAATCATAAAATGTTTTTCTGTTTTGTTGTCTACAGTTTTTTCTATCATGCATTTTAAATGATAGTCTTGAAAACTTAAGTTATTTCTTGTTTCACAAGAACAAATGTTTAAAACAAATAACCTTCATCAAGCCATGAGTAGTACAAAAGATAAAAGTATTTATGGGTTTAAGTAATTTAATTTCTGTGCATTTTTTATTTTATAAACTGTCTCTTCTATTTTTTATTGAAAGCTAACTCACTTATTTAACTTGACGAATAACGTTTTTTGTTTATTTTTCTGAATGTAAGCGGAACTAAGATTGACTAGAAAAACGTGAAGGGTTGGAGGAGATCGATTGTTTACGTCTACTCTCAGTTCAGATACACTCGGATTGTTGCGTGATTTCGTTTACAGTGTGATCTTGAAATTTTTTTAGAAAGGACATTTGACATAAGACGAATTCGACAAAGAAATCCCAGGGTGTTCCTCACAAATTTCGCTTGTTAATCACCTATTGTGTCGATTGATTTTGTTTTGGTTATCCTTAGGGATAATAGAGAACCAACCATTAACATTTTTGATATTAGATGTTTTAATTAGTGCAATTTTTAGTTCTGTTTGCGGTGTATACGTAAATGTTAGGTCTGTTATCTGTTTAATCTCCAATGGAGGTTACTTCTGTTAATTCCTAATTCTATAGATGAAGTAGTAATAAAAGCTTTATTATTATTTTATTTCAGTTGCTTAATTTAGCAAAATGGACAACGTAATGGACATTGGCCTGGTAGGCAGGGCACTGAACTATCATGGCGTCCAACTCAAGAAAGCTTGGGAAGCGGAACGAGGAGAAGGCGATCTTGAAAAACTAAATGTGGAAAATATTGATTACAGCGTATATCAGGAGAGGCAGAAGAACCTCAGGTTAGTTGTATATTCATTAAATAATTGAAAAATTATTTTTCAAAACAATGTTTGAGAAAACAGTTGATTTAAATGGTACTAGTTCACAAGAGTTCCGCACGGATTACGCGTGGTTCACAATCACTTCGATCACACTTGTTCATGGAATCCCGAAAACAGCCGAATGTTGTCGTCTTTTATGACGTCAGCTATGGTCCCTCTTAATGCATTTTGAAAAAAAAAAAAGTATTCCCTTCGTGGAACTTCCTTATTAAAAATGTATTAACGAATTGTGTATTTACTTAATTAGATAATTATTAATTTGTATTATAACGGTCATTACTGTGAAAGAAAAAGAAAACATATATAAAATAATGTTTGAGTCTTTTTTTTCAAGGCCTGTAAAAAAAAAATGCTTTTAGAAATAAAATTTTTATTGACACGTGCTTACATGTAGTGGCTATAAATACGCATATACTGTTGTATATTATCTATTATAAATTGTATAAAAGAGTTTTTTATCATTTGGATAATAAATAATCCGAAGGGCGATTATTGTAGTCATTCGTAAAATAAAAAAATCGTGTTTATTTTCTAGCAAGGAATTAACGTATTGAGGAAAGAACTGAAGAAGAATATCTGATAATTCCGAGATAATGAATAATGGAAATCATAAATAAGAAAAATATTGTGAAATAGCATTCAGAGATGTAATAATTAAATGTTTTCGTCTATTAATATTCCTTTTTCACATATATATAATATATGTGCATGTTCGATTCAGGTTTCATAATGTGTAGTCTAAATTTCGAATTTAAGTCAATACCTTAAATAACATTAATATAACTGAACATGGTTAAGGTTATAAAAGTACTTAAATGGCGGGAAAGTTAATCTTAACTAATTCAAGAGATCGGTCGCCTTCGTTCTCTGTCGGATAAACCCGAAGGCATTCGGGATTCCATGAACAAGTGTGACCGAAGTGATTGTGAACCATGCGTAATCCGTGCGGAACTCTTGTGAACTAGTACCATTTAAATTTTTAAAAAATCATTTTCTTTAAAATTATTTAATTTTCATATATTTTATGAAAATTGTTGTAATAATTGTCGTTTTAACATCCATATACGGGAGCTTAAATAGACAACCATGTGAAAACCTCGCTTATCCACTTTATCAACCTAACGTATGTTTTATTAATAAATAATCAAAATCAAAACATTTATTATTGATGTATACAATTTAGACGAACAGACTATAAAAAGTCCAATGAAATTTCTAAATAAACAATAGACTATAGATAATTAATAAAACTTAATCTAAGGAGTAATCTAAACTTAACTATTTATAACTAAACAACAAGAACTTACGGACTAACCTAAAGCTGATATAAAATTTATTAACTAATATAAATCTGAATAACGTACAAAAATACCAAAGACTTCATCCATATAAGTCCGCTTCTTACAGCAGTTACAGAGAGAGAGAAGAGAGAACTAACGTTTCCTCCAACGCGCGTAGGTCTCTTCATCTATTCCAATCACTGTTCCCTTCAATCTCCTAAAAACATCTGACTCTCTCTCTTTATACTACCTTAATGCGCATTCACTGCCACATAAATTAACTCTTTTGTTTTTTGCATTACAATTATAAAATTTTATAATTCAAGAAAGTTGTGGTATTGTTTTTTGAAATTCATACTCGTCTTGATTAATGAAGGACTTAACTACAAAAACAGAACTAAGTTTGTTATATATATTTTGACGGGATAACTCAACGCTCTAAACTTGTAAGAGCTATCACAATTTAAGGTTAAAAAAATAAAATAAAGTATGGACTGTTTACAGGGTGTCCCGTAATTAGAGGGAAATATTTAAAAGGTTGATAGTAGACATCAAGATCTATGTAAAAGTTCATATAAATAATTACCCATTTTCAGATTTGGGTTTTTTTATGTGAGACACATTTTTTGTTAAACATTGCTCCATATTAAACGAGATTTTTTTTTTTTGATCCTCCCCTTTCATGGGGTTTTCCCGGACCAGGGATTTAAAAGACACCTTAGCACCGAGACGCGAACTCATGACTATTTTTGTATCATTTTATCATATATCAGGTTGCCGGGCAACGCTGGTGCTGTGCACAATGCGTTAGCCCATTCGGCCACCCTGCCCACTATATTAAATGAGATATAATTTACTTCAAACAAAAGTAGAGGTTGTCATTTTTAAAACCATGTAAAGAGGACTATTTAGCTGTCGAACTCAGCTAGGTCCCATTAAAAAAAAAAAAAGTCGTAAATTATTTGCGATTTTCTTTAACCACCCTTCAACTGTACTACAATTAACCCAGTTTTAGAAAAACTTCCTTGTTTAATAAACTTTAAGTCCATTTTAATTAAGTTGAATTTTATTAGAAGTTTATTCTTCCTACACTATCATTACTATTATTTGTCTCTTGATGACAGTTTTTTTAATTGATTATGACATAGTTGATAGAATGTGTAACATAGTTGCTTCTCTAAAAGTATTGTGTGATTTAGTTTTCAGGAGCGCAGCAGAAGGTTGAAACTATGTCAGTTTGTTGCAAATCATGCTAACATGTTATTCGACGAGGTGCTCAATGTTAGAACACCATCGACTGTACCAAAGTCTCCTCCCGCTGCTCCTCCAGATCAGCTAGCAGCTGTGCTGCCTCCGTTGGACGTCTTTTTAGAAATAGAAAAGAAGGAAAAAACTGAACATTTTTTTAATGTAAGTTGTATAGTTTTTGTATTATTAATTTTTTCCACTTTTTTCCTATTAGTATTTTCACATTCAATTTTAAATTTTTAGAGTATAAGACCAGGCGATCTCATCTTAGGATCACTCACTACAAAACTCTCTACTGGATATTTGATGAAAGTGGTTTGCACTGATGGGGCCAATGCTCACATCGTTTCGGACCTTGGAATTAAGGTAATTTATTATGACACATAATGGGAAATACAATTTTTTCCGCTATAGAGAGATCTCTATTTTATATAATTTAGGTATAAAATATAATAAAAAAAAAAAAAATTGTAAATAAAAATTTGCTGATTAAAATTGTATTTTATATGGCATATAAATGAAATCATTCATTAATCGAAAGAACATTTTTATTTGTAAATATCCAATTATTATACAAAAAAAAAAAGTTGAGAAATAATGCATTTCATAAATATTAAAAGTGCACTTTTATAACATTAGCTTTAAAATTTTCATTTTACTCAAATTAGTATCTTATTGTTATTTAATTAGTATATAAAATTATATTTTATATTATGAGGAGTTAGTCGGGGGTGCGGTCAAATAAATACTAAATTAAAATATAGTAATTATTTTATTTTAATAATTACTATATTTTAATTTAGTATTTATTTGACCGCACCCCCGACTAACTCCTCATATTATATCAACGGTCAACCATCTCTACATCATTATATTTTATATTAGTATATAAAATTAGTATATATATATATATATATATATATATATATATATATATATATATATATATATATGATATAATGATCTCCATTAATATATTAGGATTAAACCCACCCCCTCCTTCCATAATACAAAATCCATCTTAAAAAAAGATTCTCAAATTTTAACTCTACATCCATCAACGACAGGTACATCAGGTAGTTGTAAAATAAATTATTCTAAGTATTCTATTATTTGGGCTAAGAAAAAAAAAATTAGTTTTGTTGTTATTGATCAGTTGAAGAGTACAACTTTGAAATGTGGCTCATGGTATAATTGGTTGAAATAAAAATCGAAGTCAGTAACTGCCTAACCGGGATCTCTAGACAAATTAATCGAGAATTCATAACTTTAGTTCTACTCAATATTTTGTTTTTATTTAAAGCCTATGTTTTAAGTCAAGCTAACTTAAATATAATGTCAAAATTTTAAAAGTCCACCATTAGACCTTACTGAGCTTACCTCTGACAAAATTTTGTTGGACAATGCGAACATACAGACAAAAAAATTTTTAAAAATTGATTTGGCGTCTTTAATGTATGAAATAGAAAGATATCATGAAACGGGTTGATTATATTCTATGTACAGACAAAACCTTTATTTTATTTATATAGATAAAATTCTAATTGCATTATTAATTGTGTTGATACAGGCCATCATTCATTCAATGAATATGATACCAGCAGTTGACAAGAAAGGTGTGACGAGAAGCTTTCTCCTTAATGATTTGTTGTGCTGTGAAGTGTTGGAAGTTGTAACGACATCTGAGAAGATGTACGCTGGCATGAAAGGAGATACATGCTCTCCCGCGGATAGACAACGTCTTGGCCTTATTCATTCAGAAGATATGCCTCTTTTCTACAAGTAAATATTTCATTTTATTTTTATTTTTAACATTTCATACAGTGTATTTATTATGTTGTTACCCTTTCAAAAGTTACCACTGTTTTTTATCAGTTCCATAAATTATGAGAAGTTGTATTAATTTTTTATATTTATGTAAATTTCTTTTCTATAGCCAAAACTTTTTAACGTTTTGAAAAAAAAAAATAATAAAAGACCGGTTAATAAAAGAAAAGAAATTATATAAAAAAAAAAAGAAAAAAATCTTGATCTAATAATCTTTTTCCTGAATCCTTAAACAACCATTTTCATCTACAAATTTGACTTGAGTCTAGACATCGTTCAAAGAAGAAAAGTATTGCTTAAAAAAAAAAAAAAAAATATTTATTCTTTTTTTACGGACACTAAATTTTTTGGTTAATAAATCACATATGAATTTCTTTCAGTTATTGTTATATGATCAACTATGTGAAAGGCACTCTTGATACTTTATATGAGTTTATAAAATGAGTTCTTAGTACAATATGTAAAAGAGACTGCCAAGGAATGCCAGCACTCGTTATTTCCTACATCACAAGATGAGAGGGGTCGATTACATGTATTATATTATTGGAGATATTTAGTGAATGTCTAAGTGGCCTTTGTTCTTGTGACAGATATTTCTTGAACACCAGCATTTTATTAAAGAAAAAGGTAAAATGTTTGCCGACTAATATTACCAGGTCTCAATTTTTATTTCTTGAACTATTTTCCCTTGTTTCTTTTCAGGTTTTATAATATAACATATCATTATTGATAATAGTGCTAATGGTTTGTATGTCATATCACTCTCTTCACATCCAACAAATTTATATGGAATTGGATTTTAATATTGTTTGATCTGTGTTGTAAGATTGTTAATTAATAATAGAATGAAATATTTCTATTACTAGAGTTCTGATTCTTAACTAGCTCGAAAACAACATATTTAAATGCTTTAAACCGTACTAATATATAACATCGTTAATCATGTTATTTATATTTATCGAAATTAGATATATGGAACTATTTCCTTAGCAAGATAGCTTAGCTTAGTCGCGGGTGAAGATAACATTATATTTTGGAAAGCATCTGGGTTATTTAATAATAACATAAACAATCACCTGGGTCATGCCAGATCAAAGTGACATGAAAAACAGATTTTGAACCCTAGGTATGAATAGGTCTCTATTCATGTGACCTATTTTAACTTATTTTTTTCTACAACCGCATATTTCCACTAATACCCTTAGACCGCAGAGGGGCGCTGTTATAGGTTGGAGGAGCTGGTCCGACCAATAGATCTTTTGATCCTCTTTACCAATCTCTTGATGGTTACCGGAAGTAAATAATAACTGACCCAGGTGGAAATTAAATTTACAGAGTTCTGAACCATGCATTCCCTTCCCCCTTAATATACTTGCCCAATACGGCTACTGCTAGGGTCGCTTAAGAGTATCATACAGCGGAATGTTCACGTTTCACTGTACTCAATAAAACTCATTTACTTCTTTTGAGCATGACATTTCATGTAGGTAAACATTTAGAAACTTGTTTATTTTTATCTTTTTTATAACTATTGTATAACGATAAGACCTAATTTTCTCGGCCCGGTCTTCATTTATTATTTATAAAGTATGTATGCAATGCTTAGTTATGAAAACTTTTTTTAAATTTATCTTTTCTATTTACCTCTTTGTGGATTGATAATTTCCAAATTAATCCATGTGTGTGACAATCCAATTAAATAGAACTATATTTAAAAAAAAAAAAAAAAATAAAATAATAGCACTTAACATTGTTTAAGTAGATATAGAGAATGAAATTATTGTAATAATTATGAAAAATTTATAGAACATATATTGATGCTATCTGTTCTCTGATGTGAATTATGATGGAATGACAGATATGAGAAAGATCAAAGAATGGCAGCGTTTAAGAAAGATAAAAAGAAGAAATTCTGTTAAATCAAGCTAAGCTCTTTACAGTAGATCATATGCTATTTACAAGCTTATATCACGAATTACTGAAGAAGATGAAAATTGAATTATGTGGAAGGGATCTCTCTAACAAATTGATCCCAAAAAGATGTTTTTCTCTTAATTATAAATGATTCCTGTTTATATATTTCTTTTAATACATCAATCACAGGAACATAAAGAAAAAGGGAAGAAAATAAGTTACTTTTATTAGAAATTACACATAAATAAGTGCAATCTGATATCAATTATTACTTACTACTAAAGTTTATGGTTATGTTTTACAAAAATACCCGAAGTCATTGGAATTATTCTCAATCATCATCATTTTAAAGTTATATTTAATTAATTTATGATGCAACTGATCTGTCTTAATGGAGATTACTAGGTGAGTTTGTTAATCTGTTATATATACATTTATATATAAATATATATCTTCATTTATTATATGCAGTTTTAGCCGGTTTAGTTCATTCTTTTATTATCAATCGTTTGCGGGTAGATCTTGAAAATTAACTAATTTATGGATCTGTTGTTCAAAATAAAAATTGAATTGTGAATTTGTTTTATTATCCCTTTTCATCCTTAACATTTCCGTATCTTTTATTTTTCAAGGCTTTAAAATTTAATTTATATACAGAAGAAGTTCTGATGTCGTATCGTTTATTCTGCAATCCATTTTTTCTGTGAACATGCTTTTTTTTTAGTGGTTTAAAATTCCATCTGTAACACCATTTGAAATTCCATCGTTTAGTCTTAAACAGATTACATGTCCGTAAGTATGTATTGTAGTTCAATACAGGCAATCCTGTTTTCTTTTTCTTTTTTTCTCTATTAACATATTTTCTTTTACTCATTCCTATTTAAAATCAGCTTTTTTTTAATTTATTTTTGCTTACAATAATTTTAACTATCCTTCTAATTTTTGTAATATATTAACGTTTCGGATCCCCTCATGTTACGGTCAATTTTCATGTTTACTTTTTCTGTATTGTAATTTATTCTCATTTTTTCTATTACGTAGTACTTCTCTTTCTTTCTCCCTCTACCTCTTCTCCTTATTTTATTAACATAAGAATGATTAATTCAATCATACGTTTTTGATAAAAAATTTGCTCAAATTATTTCCTAATTCCTTTCTTTGGATACCGTCCTTTCATGGTTTCTTATATTCAGCAGAGTTTCATGGAGTGCGCTCTACTTGACATATTTTTTCTTAATTCATTCCAAATTTAAAATCAATTTTCTTTTCAAAGAACGCCATTTTTTTTATATTATACTCGAACTTATTTATTTTTAATTTATACCTTTACTTCAGTAATATATATTTACATTGGTGTTTAAGTTAATATTTTGCAGTTTATGAATACGTTATATCCGTACTAAAAGGTTTGATATTGTTTTTTCATATGAATAAAATATGCACATGTAGGTATTTTTTAATATCAATATGTTGCTCTGTTTATGTATAAATAATTTTACTTGTAACAATTTTTTTTTAATCGTTTAGGAAATGGTTGGAGAGAAACAACGAGACCTATGATGAGTTATTAAAAAACTCAGTAGGCTTCAGAAACCCAGGAAATATTCAGTATCTTTCTGAGGAGCTAGGTTTGGGAAGTCATCAGTATTCTCATTTTCCAGCATTGCGGTATGTTTTTGTTTTTTTATTATGTAGTTAATTTTTTTACTTTCTCTTTAAATAGTCATTTATTGATATAGCATTTTAACAATATTTTCCTGCTATTCTATTGCATTGTTTTTCACTTCTTTTTGTTTTTTGCGATATCATTAACAATAACAGTTTTAGTAATATTACTGATTTTTGCTATGTATTTTTATTTGTTATTTATTTAGTAGTTGTATTATTAGATTAAAAGTTAAATTAAATTAAATACTTGATTAAAGAGAGAGTGATGGGAAGGGTGGTGAGAAATTTTCTTTATATTTAAATATTTATTTTATTTTCTTACTTTTTTATTAAAGCGCCATATACAAAGGGCACTAGGAAACTTTTGCAATACAATTTTATTTTCTTTAATTTTTCAAATTAGTTTCCACCACACAAAATACACAACTCCATTCTCCTAAACCGATTGGCTAAGTAACCCTGCCATATTCTGCAATCATACTCGACCTCCTAAAGTCTCAAAAAGTCCTTATTACATATGAATGCCTCCCTTTTAGACTGTTTCTAACCTGAGATAAAAGTGTTAAGTCGTAGAGAGCTAGATACTGTTGGGATATTGGGGAGGATGCTCGAGTAGGTTTATGCTAGTGCTGACCAAATATTCTATGCAAAATTTGGAGCAATATGGTAAAGGAATCATGAACCCATTATTGAGTTCGTTCAAAGTTTCTGGAGAGCTTTTGCCACTTTAGGGAGATATTCCTTGGTGTACCACTTGCCTGCTAGTCTACTTTTCTAGCAGCAAAATGCGTTTTGCAAATCACAACGCCACTCTCACTTATAAATATACCCACCATTCTCTTTTTAACCGATCTTGATCATCTTCAGCATTTCACTTCACAATGCGGCACGAGATTCACCATGTGAGCTGTAGTTAAGCTATGGGGCGCCTGAAGAGTATAAGCCTCCTAACTTGATCTTATTTAATTTAGTTTCTCTACAATTCCAAGTCTTATCCTTTTATTATATTTATTTGTTCATATATACTAGATTTATTTTTATGTTTATATATTTATTTAATGAATACCAATAATAAAAAAAATTATTAAATAAAAAGCTGTAGTATCATTTCTATAAGTAGCTTCATAATTTAAGAGCTTAGCTGGTACAGTTTCACAATTCACACTAATCATTAACTTATATTATGTTATTTATTAGATTTGGATTTCCTACTGAGGAATGTGCGAGTGAATTGAGGCAAACCCAGTCGAGCAAGTGGGCTTACCGTAGTGTTTCCGACGGGATCACTCACTTCAAGGCAGGGCGCCATACTGAAGCTTTCCAGTGCCTCAACAAGGCCCTCACTATAGACACTAACAACATTGAGGCTCTGGTTGCACGAGGAGCTCTGTGAGTTAATATTTTGTTAATTCCTATCGCAATGTTAAAACACACTGAGATTCTTTGAATGTGCTTGTCTTCAAATTCTCAATGTGTTTTGTGTTGGCGCTGGTATTTTGTTTATATGAATATTAAAATATTTAGTTTTTTTTTAGAAATCATGTTATTATAAAAGATGTCATTATACAAAAAAAATGTTTTTAGAGCTTATGGCGGACTCTTGAGTTCGGTGATAATTGGAGTCTGTTTTCCTTTGTTGCATTTTTGTTACGACTAACTGTGTAAATAAAAAAAAAATACATAACTTGTGTAACAGTCATCTACAATATTACGAGAGATAATAATCGAACAAAAAGTTGATAATTTATGTTGACATTGAGATGATAAGGTCAAAGCTGGAAGATGGCAAGCGTTAAATTGGTATATTCTGTCATGGATACATTTTTCAATTTTGAAAGTAAAATACATTTTATTAATAAAAAATTTATCTTACACGATTATTCAATGTGTATTTATAGATACGCTAACAATGGGAGCTTCAAGAAAGCTATTGAGGACTTTGATGCTGCTCTTAAAATCAATAACAATCATCAAAACGCAAGAAAATACATGGCTGAGACGCTGGTAGCTTATGGCAGAAGGTATTGATTTGTTTTCCTTATTATTTCATTATTACTAGGCTACTTGGTAGACGTTCTAAATTATCTGTGACTAATAAATTAACTATTTACAAAGTCCTCATTAAACCACTTTGGACATATGGAATCGAACTATGGGGAACAGCAAAGGAATCAAATATAATAATCATCCAGTCATTTCAGTCAAAAGTCCTTCAGAAAATTGTAGACACACCATAGTTCAAACCTTACGTTACGTTACACACTGATCTTAACACTCCTTTCATCATGGCAACTGCCATAGACCACTTCAATAATTTTCATGACAGATTGACTCTAAATTCCAATCCACTTATTCAAGCCACAAATCCATATAATCCGCCCAGAAGACGGCTGAGACACTTGCCAAGAGACTTATTGCATTGAGCTACTTGCTGTATTATCTTTTTTGTGTTATTATGTTATCTTATTTTCATTTTATTACTTTTCCTTTTTTTGTTATTATTATTATTATTTATTCTCCTTGATATCATATCATATTTGTTGAATACCGAAGTAGATAACAAATTTATTGTGCACTAGGAATATGTATAACTGATAAAAATAAATAATTATTTTGTTGGTATGGGGGTTTAGTTTAGTTTCCTTTTACTTGCATAATAGAAATATATCTTCCTATATATAGGAATATATATATAGTTCTTCTATTACGGTGCATTCTCATTAATTTTGAACTTATTGCTATAGGAGGATTTTCAGATTAGGTTGAGTATTCTGGAAAACTAATCACAATAAAACTCAATAAATGCATACTACATAATTGCCTGACAGGATGGCAGTTATTGAAATATAGCCAATCATAGGTTATTCTAGGATCATGGGATTTTTTCACTTTGGGTATATCCAACCGCTCATAACTTCTCATAATAAATGGTTATGAAAATAATTTTAAGTGGTTATTTTTTTGCCGAGTAACAAATTGTCTTGATTAAGAGGAAAAATGGAATTACTGGCATACCACTTCTTTTTTTTGTAAAAAAAATTGATTATAAAATATGACATTTTAAATTTAGATTACTGGCCCCTACTTCACAGTGCAGCTGGTCCCTGGGGAAAGTCAGACCATTACCCCTTAATAATAATAATTAATATTTCAATTGCTATGAAAATTCTTATTTAAGGGATTTTTGAGGTGTGAAAAGTAAATATCAACTTAGTAATTTTGTCTTGAATAAGTTTAATTCTCTTTATTAATTAGATTTTTTTTTTATATATACATAGTTTTGAAGACGAAAGTAAGTGGGACGAAGCCTTAGAAGCCTATGAGCGTTGCTTAACGATCATACCATTTCACGAAGAAGCAAAGAACTCGATTGAATTTGTTAAAGCTAAGCAGGGGCTTGGGCGTCAGTCCGAGCAGGAAACTATACCTCTCCTCACGCCCAATAAGGCTCACGGTGTGAAAGAAACTTTGAAACATTTGTTAGCTCAGCACGATGGCGGCAAAACTAAGAAGAAGAAGAAGGAAAAGAAGAAGTAAGACTTAATTTTTTTTTGTAATTGATAAAATTAGTTGTAATTAAATATTTAGGTAATGAAAATTTGAAAATAATTAGAATTAAATTGAATTATGTGTATATGAGTGAGTGTATTTAGTTATAAATAAAAATAGCAACAGTTAGTTTTAAAAAATTGTTGCAGCCTTCATTAGCACTGACCTTACTGTGGTTTCCATTGATAAAAAGTTTTCATATCTATTTTTATAAAATAATACGACAGTTATTATTGCGACTGTAACAATCCCTTTTCCACTTCTCAGGAGTGATTTATTTTAATGAATAAGGTATCAAACGAAAGGATATTAAATGGAACAATGACGAATCATAGTAATAATATCCACCCAAAATTTCAGGAAAAAAAGTTATGAATGAAAAGAAAATTTGTTTGCGAATTACTTAAAAAGTATACATTTTTTTCTTGATTAGACCCATTATTATTTGAAAATGAACTAAATTCTCTATAAAATGAAAAAAACAACAACACGGAAATCGGACTATTATTTACAGAGATTCACACAGCCTTTTGTATTTTATGTATTATTGCTTCTAATATTGTTTTCAAAGAAGTGTTATAAAACATTAATTATCATTTTTACGTATATGATTTTCAAAATTTACTGTCATAATTTCTGATTTTTGTGTATTAAAAGGATAACTTACAATTTTTAAGATTAAGTAATTTCCTTTTAAAGCCCTAAAATGTACAGTTTTCCAGTTAGAGTTTGATTCCAACCTTATACCTGCGTTAGGAAATCTTGATGCCACTGTTGTCGACACTTCATAATGACTTCGTCCTGAATATTTGTCGCCCATGATACTATATTTTATTTCTCACTCGTGTTTTATTCCGCCATATCTTCGTTAGTTCCAATTATCGGACCATTGGTATAAAGATTGTCTAAACTCAACTCCTAACATCTCAGAAAAAAATAAAAACAAACTTAGTTTGGCCATGACAGGTAAAGTATGCAATTCATGAATAATTATAAGGTTACAAAATTTTCTGCAAACAAAACATGTATATCGAAATTGGACCATTATGATCAAAGATATGACTACAGTAAATTTGACCAAGAAAAGGAAAATAAATTCCTCTACCTGATACATTTCATTAACATACTTCCATACTATTTTATCAGTTGTTCTCTGAGAAATATTTTATGCGAATTATTTAGTATTATGGGCCAGCTAGTTGAATGTTCTGAGGTAATTGTGGACCGTGGACCATTGTATATTATCGAATAAGGAGATGTTCTGGGGGGGAGGGAGCAGTCATAAAAAGATTGAAATAGTCTAGATAATATTAATAAAAATATTTTTTTCACTATTTCAATCTTTTATGATTGCCACCCCGGACCATCTCCTTACTCAATAAAAAATGTTCCTATTTATAGTATAGATCATAAGCTGATGATCTATAATGATAAGGGAAAACCTTTGTGTGTGTGTATATATATATATATACACTCACGTGTACATTCACATGTAGGCCATATGCAGAGGCTTGTGGTCGTATTCTCTATTTAGTGCGAGAGTTTAAAATGAAATAAGAACTCTTAAAGGAAGTTAGTCAACCGTTCTACATATCATAGGTGATAAATAGTCAGGACGCAGTCATTTTTAAATTTTTTATTAGTGCCGACATTTTAACCCAAACATATGGGTCATCATCAGGGCTGAAAAGTTGTTTAGTACAATCAGAGATATAATATTATAAGACAGATAATGGTTAATAATAAAAAAAAAAATGTGATTGATGATACATTTCATGTATTATCAATCACTATTTTTTCATTATTAACCCTTATCTATCTTATAATATTATATCTCTGTGATTTAGAGATGGTTGACCGTTAATATAATATGAGAAGGAGTTAGTCGTGGGTGCGGTCCAATAAATAAAAAAATTAGAATATATAAATTATTTTAATTTTTGCCGTCGTTTCGACCCACTTTGCAGGTCGTCTTCAGGGCGTAGGATGTGGCACTGCGGGAGGCAGTTGACAGGCACAGGCAGTTGAAACAGTGGCCAGTGTTTCAACTGCCTCCCGCAGTGCCACATCCTACGCCCTGAAGACGACCTGCAAAGTGGGTCGAAACGTTGGCAAAAATTAAAATAATTTATATATTTTAATTTTTTTATTTATTTGACCGCACCCTCGACTAACTCCTTCTCATATTATATCTCTGATTGTATTACACAATTTTTCAGCCCTGACGATGAGACCCACATGTTCCTATTAAAATGTCAGCACTAATAAAAACTTAAAATGACTGTGTCCTGACTATTTATCACCTATAAAATAAGAACTATAAATTTTGAAGGGCTTACACCATTTTTGTTGTTAGAAAAATATCATCTATATAAGTATGTAGAGTACAAAATATTTTAGTGAAAGAAAAAAAAATCTTTATTTGTATTAAATATTAAAGATAATTAATATTATTATAGGACCAAGCATAAGAAAAATAGATCAAGCTCAAGCAGTAGTTCTTCTTCGTCATCTTCAAGTACTAGTTCTTCAGAATCTTCATCCGATTCTTCATCAGGCTCTTCTCAAGATTCTCATCACAAAAAGAAACACAAGAGGTATGGATGGAATAATTCTGAAGGTTCTTACTTAGATAATAGATAAATGTCTTTGTCACAATATATGTAATAATCGGTGGATATGAGTGAATAATGTGTTTTTTTATAATGACCTTGAAAATGTAATCTTCGTTATGAAAGACCACGTTCTCTCTATTCATCTACCTTTTGGCTGTCAATAACGGTACGGGTCGTTATATTGAAATCAAACTAGGCTAATGAATAAAATTTATTCAGAATGGACATAAAACGGTGCTCTTTTTAAAAAGAAAATTATACCAGTACTATTTACTATTTGTAATATATTGTTAAGTTCTCATTCCCTCCAAAATCAAACGAGTTTCTTTTTCAATATACTATTTATTTCTCACACATAGATATAAATTTTCAGGTTGGGTTCTGACAACTGAACACTCATGCAATATTAAATAACTGCAAGCTTTACTAATTACTAACTACTCTAATTATACATATAAAATTTATAATTGTTTTCAAAACCATAGATTGTCCCGGTCTAAACTTTGTGGCTCTATCCCTTTGTCAATATAAATGGCATTGTTAGCACTCACCCAAATGTTTACGCCTGTCAGTGAAATAAACTATTCTTATTCATGAATGTTCCCTTTTCGGTACCACTGAATTAATTTCCGCTAGTTCTTTCTTCCAACACAAAGAAATCACCACTAGTGGCCTCTATCAACACTCTGACCGGCTAGTACTCCTTTTAGATCTTCTCGGCTTGCTGGCTCGTTACCTTCTGCCATTATATGAGGCTTGCTTCCCCCACCGTCAGCACTTCCTGTCAGTAGTTCGTGCTGTCGCACCAATATTCAAATACCTATGTAATGTTGACATTACTATATACATCTGGGTCAAGATTTGGCTGACAAGTACTCGTTCGTTCGACCCATGGTACTCCTAAAAAGAGCATTTATTGGTTTGGCAAATATGTCCTTTCAGTTTATTTTTATGTCACTATGATACACTTATCTGATGAATTAATCCCTAAGGTGGATTGTTTATCCTGTTTGTAATATGTCAACAACTATATCTGTTAACTCTTGTTGAAACTAACTTATTATTGTGTTTGATATTGCACTGTGGATATGGAAAAAAATGTCATTCATTATCGGCATAGTTTGTTGTATTATTTTAAAAAAGGTAAGCGTGCTGCAGAAGCTCATAGAAAAATTTGCAGTGTTTTGAGGATGATGCCTTAACCCGAACGCACCTGTCAAAATTGCTTTGCCAAATTTCATTCAGGAAATTTTGACATCAATGATGCGCAACGGTCTGGTGTCATGAAATTAAAACGAGCAATGTTAAGGCCATTGTTGATCAAAATCCCACTCTATCTGTGCTAAAGATTACTGTGGCCCTAAAAGTGTCTCACACAACCAGAGAAAACCATTTTCACAAGCTCGGCTATGTTTCCGTCTTAATGTTTGGGTCTCTCATTCCCTAACCCAAGTCAACTTGGCAACACACATTTTTCTTTGTTATTCACTACCGAAACTTTTAAAAAGCTTGGTAACAGAGGATAAAAAATGGATATTTTACGATAATATAGTCTGTGGAAAATCTTGGGGACCTAGTAGTCAATTTTCTTTCATATGTAATAAATAAATTTAGTTAAAAATTATACTTTTTTAATACTTGTGTCTTCAGGCGAATTCGTCAGGGAAAACTATCATTAAATCGGAAAATTTCTGGGAATTTTACTTTAATTGTCTGGTAGCCACCCTTATATTGTAACATTCATTGTTCAAAATGTACTTAGATAAATATTGAATTTTTAAAATAATTCTTGATCAAATTTCCAATCAAAATTACAGATTTATACTGTACATTTTTTTTTTTTTATAACAAAATGGTATTATATGAATGTTGCCTAAATATCAATTGTGTTAATTTATTTAGTTTTTTTTATTATTTATAGGAAAGGAGATCATAAGGACAGATCATTGTCTCCGTTGAGTAAAAGAATGGCTTTGATGGATCCTAGTGGTGGAGTTGAGAGTGAGTAAAAATTATTGATATACCTTACCGTATAAGAAATTAATATATTTATTTGCAGTGTTTTTGCCCTTCTAATTATTTTTTTTTTTAAATTATTATTATCATGTAGACATTTATTTATCCTATTATATTATCTATCCTATAAGACAGTGGTTCCCAACCTAGAGCTCCCAGGATCCACTGTGCCTGCGTGAGTCACTTGTGCCCGTCTATCTCTAACATAAACTTTATCGGCGATCACCCTGGCAACAGTTCTTACTATTGTAGGCAGTAGTTTAAAAAGTTTTTAAAAAAATGTTGAATATTTATTATCGAGTATTTTTTATTGATATATCATTGCTATTATTTGTTTAATCTCTTTTTATGATAGCAAAAAAAAAAATTAATGGCACTGTTGGTAATTTTGCATATAACTTATTTTATACCTAGTTATAACCCACACTGCTTCTAATTAATTTTTAATTCTAATGTAAAAATGTGTCAGTCTATTATAAAAACCCTTTATAAACCTAATAACATCTATTAAGCTTAGTGTTTTTTATCTTCTGTGTAGAAATATGTTTCATTAGTTTTGGAAATAATGATGTTTGTTACTGTATGTATATAATTCTTTTTAACAATAAACTTTAAATTTCTTTTTTAAATATTATGAACAGTAACCTAACGGCAAATAACATTGAATAAAAACATGGTGCCGCCCGCCAACTAACGCATAACCTGTAAATATTATGAACAGTAACCTATCGGCAATTAACATTGAATAAAAACATGGTGCCGCCTGTCAACTAATGCATAACCTATAAATGTGTCCACAGTTGACAAAAGCTTGGGAAAACCCATGCTATAAGAGTTGAATTAAAAATATAAATTGTTGTGGAAATGTGGTGGTTATAGTCGTCACAATTAATTACTCTATTAGTTTTCAGCTGACCTAGCAAGACTTATTACTTATTTCTGTTTTAGTTGTTTAAGACCTCTTTGTTATGTTTATATTTAATTTTTAATATTTAAAATAATTCTAAAGTTTTATCCTGTAATCTAACTTCAGTAACAACAGCCCATGTTGGCTAAGGTACACTTCTATTTTAGTTGAAATTTTAATATTTTCTATTACTTGACCAGTCCTGACAATGATGAATCTAAGTTGGTTAATTTCTTCTCTCTGTTGATATTTTACTCAATGATCCAAATACATCCATTAATACTTACTGATTTTCATAATAATGAAAATATTTATTGTTATAAAGACTACACATAATATATGTAAGTATTAACAATAAAAACAGGTAATAGTAGAATGTATTACTGCCACATTGTTATTAATAAAATTTTATTTTTATCTGAAGTAAATTTCATATGAACGTTTTATTGTTAGTGGTATATGCATATGATGCCTTAACGACCAATACCCGCTAAATCCATTTTTAAAGGGGTTTGTAAATATATGGATAAATAAAAGTTTTGAAAAAGCTGTAAAAAAATTTTAGCAGGAGGAATTAGGGCAGGTTGGCTTAAATAGTCCTATCTTTATTTTTCATGCAAACTATGTTTGATATGTGCATGATATACGTTCTCATTCAATACTAATATTTATTAACCCTCATCCTGGGGTTGGTTGGCGCAGTTTGGAAATCATTATGAAGGAAAAGCAAACACTGGTATATAAAAATGAAAGTGGTTAAATACAAGTCAAGTTAGCATTTGTTAGCTAACCAGCACTAAAGAACCTGGTTCAATTAGAAACCAAAATGGCTACCAAGGTCCAGAAAAGCAAATTGTTAAGGAGTTCTTATGGAAATAAAAATGGAAGATTGCTTGATTTCTGAATTCTATTTAAAAAAAAAATTAATTCCTAAACTGTAAAACAAACTCATGAATTTCTCCTCCATAGAAGCTCATATAGTGGTGCTCTGAAACTAATGGTAGTGAGAATTATTATCAGTTGGTCAATATATGTCTTATGCCAATCAGCTCTGTTCTCTCCTGCCAAGTTGCTATTATAAATTTTAATAGTATTTATGAAATTTCAGGTATTCATATATTTCGAACTTATTAAAAAGCTTCGGTAATTGGATTTGGCAGGTTTTAAAGGTTTTCATTCAATTCTTCAGTTGACTCCGCTTGATTTGTGCAGCAGATACATGGGACATTTTTAAATTTAGGTTATTGCATATTAAACCTTCTTGCTTTATTCCATTAAAATCATTGTTTTAATGAAACAAAATAATACCTAATTTACTGCAGATTTGATAAAAAATTTCAACATGGTCGCTTTCTGAGATTGTTTTTCTAATGGTACTAGCAACGAGAGAGAAATAATGGCTGGTTGGAAAACAATAAATTCCTTGAGAGTGGTTTTTTCCTTCCAAGAGCTTCTAACGAATGATAATTGGAAACTATACGCTATGGTTTCTGAGAAGAATGTATCTATTTCTAGTCTACCAGTCTTGGAATCTAAGTACCTCTGCGAAGCTACAAATTATTAATTATCATCTATTCCACAGTTTATTCCATGTTTTTCAGAAATTGTAATGATTCCAAAATCAACAATTGTAAGGATTAAAACAAAAGAAAACATGTACTGGTACCGAACAGCTAAAAGTTAAGAAACCTTTAAAAATGGAAATGGAAGTTGATAAAGCTAGTTAGAGAGGGAAAAAATGAATGATTAGGTATTATTACCAAACAATGTTTAAGGAAAATATTCTTTGTTTAAAAGGCTTTAGTTTTAGGCAAAGAAAAACCTATTTTCTTCTTTACTTGCTGACGATTTGTGATTTTATTTGATGAAAATTCAAATACTACTAAATTAAATATAGCAATGTTGATGGAAGCTAAAAAATAAAATTTAGTTCTGATAATTAACAAGTTACTAGCTGATTTGTGTGAAAATATCGCACCAACTTAGGTTTGTATTAGATTTTATTATATTAGGGTTTTTAAGAAATGCTTTAATTATTTACATTCAGTAATATATGTACAGCTAAAGATATAATGCATCCAGATGTGCCCATCTTTACTTGTTAAGCGGATCCTACATGGTCAGTCATGAATGACATTCACAAGACTGATGAAGATTGCTTTAATCATGATGAACCCTACTCGTATCAATCAGACTGATGCAATTTTAGCTCTGTTGACATTGAGATAATAGGGAGTGTGGATCTGGTGCATTGTCCATTAGTCATAACGTGTTTCATTAAACAAGCTTACTTGGTCATTAGCGTTAATAGCATTGGCTATGAAAAGAAAAGTGCAGATATAATAATTACTTCCTAGTGCCTGAAAATAGTTAGATAAAGATCGTTTATATAAATATAAACTAGGAATATGAATAAAATATTTATTTTAAATGAAAATAAGGATTGTACAAACCTTATGAGGCCTAGGTAAACTTACCTATCTGGTTTGCAAGTTTAGTCTCCCCCACCACCTCAGTCTTCCCTCTGCTTATCGTGGTTGAAGCTTTGATTTCTAAAAATCTATCAATCATGTCCATCAGTACTTCAATATTAACCTTACACAATCAATCAGAATGTCAATAATGCCTCAGAATGCCATTCTGACTGTCCGTGTAGAGTCCGCTTTAAATGTCATCACCTAAACTTGCCACTGTTGCTACGTGGATTCCTTTTTCAAAGAAATTCAACTAGTAATGACACTTTCCCTTTATTGGGCGCATGTGAATACTTTTACTTTTGTTTAGTAATCCATATTAGCTGATTAATGAAATCTACCAAACAATCTATTTAATTAAATTTTCATGAATTATTATTAAAATATATTTAATTCAAAGTTTTTTAAAATTTATTTATTACTTTTTTTTCTTCTTCCTATCTTTGCCTTGTGGACAACACAGGATTCGGCTGTTTCACCGTTGCCAAAATGTTTTCATATTCTGTTGTATTATCTCGATCAACACTCTTATTTTTCCTGGTGCCATCAGTATTGTTTTTTTCTGTAAGTGTCCTAAAGTTGAAATGAGTACAACCATAGATAGGCATAATCATAATCAACAATTATGATTACAGTGATTTTGATTACATGATCATCACACGTACACAACCGTAATTAGGTTTCCGATTATGATTGTAATTAGATAATCGTGTCACATTTTTGCTATATTTATAGTGTTATTGAATCACGTTAACCAACCTGCTGTTATCGCAAAATTATTTTATTTAAGAATTCTTCAAATTTTGGAAAGTTTTCATTGCTAACCAACTGAGGAAACTTCTTAGTTAGGACAGATATACCCCTATTTTTCATCAATACTGTCAGTTCTCATCAGAATGCAGTGCAGATCATTTCTATATGCCCAAAACTCTGAAACACCACAAATATATCATGTGAGAAATTGTGAAATGCAATTGTCTTGAATTTTGTACGTAACCCAAATTGTACCGTGGAGGTATTTTCTTGGATACTCCTTTCTGGGATCGTTCTCTACTATCTTACATTCCTCCATTATCCCCTTGATTAAGTCCTGCCAAACTAATTTACTTGTATATTTGTTTGTCCAAATCTTCTCTAAGGAATATGAGAGAAACTTGGTTATTTATATAAGAAGTGTACTGTTAATAGGAATGTTTATCCAATATACACTATTGATGAAGCTACGTACTTTATAACTGGACTCTGCTAACGCTGCACCAATTTGCCCACGTAATGTCACATGCATCTGTCTGTGGTAGCCTGTAACTGCAGCCAGTAATTGCATCATGGTTCGGAAACACATTGCTGCATCTTGGCCGTAGTTTACTTTTTGATTTTGACTAGAGAATCATTCGAAATATATATTTTTTTTAAACTTCATTTAACATTTGTGATATTCAACTACACTTTACTGAAACTGCACAGAAGTAAATCAAACTCGCCTTTCCTGATGCTGCCTCTGTGCGATGATGTGAAAACTATTCCTATATTTTGTAGGAAACTATTCCCAAACCAACAGTGGGCTACGGCGCAATAATGTGTATCCCGATCGTTTAATGCAATATTGTTGTGTAAAATATTTAATATTATTTTTAATTAGTAATAAATTGGAAATGAAATTGTATCTCATTGATTTGTTGTTATCATACCATTTTTAATATTTTCCAGTCAATCTTCATTTTTCTTTTCTTTTTTCTTCAAGAACGAAAAGTATATTACCAAATTGGTAATTTTGCAAATCATATTCTAAGTATGAAGCATTGAGCTCAATGTCCAAGCAAAAGGAAACTATATGCTCTCGTAACAGTCTTATTATTATATTCCTAGTCCTATATATTTTATCGAAAATTTGATGTTTAAGTGATCTGGTAAAGTATAATATGATATGAGAGTATGTTATAATTTTTATTTTTTATTGTTAACATCAAAAAGTGGAAAACTAAAAGGTTCCTGGTCTGCTCCTTGATTATTAACCCATAAATGTTTCCTCGAGTAAAAAAAAAGTTAGGGACTCCTGCTTTTTTAATGACTATGTTAAAATCTGTATCGTTTATTATCTGGGTACAAGAGACACTTAGCAGGAAGAAATTAGAAAATACATTTTTTTTAAATCTTTCTATATATTTTTCATTAGCTCATGTGTTTTCAGAAAGTTTTATTACCAATTTTATGTTTGATTCATCTTTGTTTAATATCATTGATAAATCGGGTTATAGGTGGTATATTTTAGACTTATAGTATGAAAAGGACAGTTTTGGAAAATATGGTTGATTTATAGTAAAATTATTAATGTTGACATCTTAGTGAAGGCTTTACAATTTTATAATTATTCAAACTCATTCTCAAGTCCAAAATGGATATTTTACCAGTTGCCAGCCTGGAGCGGGCTAACATTTGTGCACAATACCGTGTGTTGCCTAGCGACCTGATAACCAAAGATATAAATGATAAATAATTACGAGTGCTAGGGGGGACTTTTAACTCTGGTACTAATTCCCTGTCCCAGAAAATCCCCTTACAACCTAAAATATGAGGAAATGGAGAACAAATATATGTATAAAAAAAAAAAAAAAAAACAGTTGCCTGTCTAATCTAAATTTTATTTGGATTTAATCTAGTAATTTTATGAGACACTTTGAATTTTATATTTTACAGCCCTCAAGATCCTCGAATTGTACCTATTTTTTTCATGTTATACTCCTGGACACATTTGTATATTTACTTAAAAAGTTTGTATTAACTTTGCTGAACTCTATGGTTGATTTGACTCATAAATCATGAGCGTATTCCTAGTTTATAACGTTAGCAATTAAGGAAGTGTCTCATAAGTTAATAGTTTATTCATAGATACTTATTCCAGGTGTGCTTTTGCTGTGTGTTTTCATTTTACATCGCCAGAATTGTGAATCCTTTATGTGATGCCTTCTTTCTTTCTTTTTTTTTTTTCTTTTTCTTTTTTTTCCAATTTAACAATGTCTATTATTCTTTAGGTAATGTTGGAAGGTGTGATTTAAAATGGTTACATTTTGAAATGATGAACCATCTCAAAAACAAATTACGAATCTTGATTACCCAACATTTTCAAGCTTACTATGGATCTTAAGTTTTTTAAATATTACTAAAAGATGCTGTCTAATAAATATACTTAATAATGCCATTGATAGTCATGTTGATGATAAAAAGTGATGTTGATGTATCTTATTAAGTAAGTTTGCCCTTTATTTTTAATAAATGTTAATAACATTTTGCGAAAATCATTATTTTATAAATAATATAACATTTGCAAAATGTTAATTAATTAACTGTCATCAGTATATATCTTTATTACGTATGATATTGATATAATTCCTCTGTTTGTTTTTTTTTTTTTGTTTTTTTTTATTTATTTTATTTTTTTAGCTCTGATGAAAATGTTTCATGATTCTCAATGTATATCTTTTATTTTATTAATTTCAGGTTTTGATGGAAACGCCTCCCATAAAGGATCTCATTATAATCCTCCAGCGATGCCTTTTTCATTCGGTGGTAAGTTTTAAGCACACCATTATTCTGATTCTAAAACCAATGTGTAAAAGTCATTGTCCAAATTTGGTGCTATTTAGTTAATCAAAGTCAAGTGTTTCTATTTTTAAATTTATATTTCCTTCAAGAAATGCTTCTCATCATTTATCTTTCTGAAATAGGCATATATTCATTAGTATCAAAGTTTTTGAGGTAACAATTTCACTAATAAATATTTGACCAGGGAGTGACAGTAAGTCTTTATTTTTGTATGGTCAGTTTTAACATTTAAATCTTATACCAGGGTGTTTACGAGTCCTGGAAACGATGAATAGGTTGCAAAATAAGGAAATTCTTGTAACCTGGAAAAAATAATATTTTTCTATAGACTGTATCGCTAAATGGCTCAAACTATTTTGATGAAACTTTTCTAATTAATGTCCTCTAAATTTTTTGTACATGTACTAAATTTCCGAGAAAATTCAGGGAAAAAAGTTATAAAGAAAAGAAAAATGTTTTGAAGCCCAACTCTGCTAGGTATATATTCTATGGTTAAAATTTATAATAAAACTTTTAAAAGGTAATTCAATTACCAACAAAACAAATAAAAAAAAATCGGAACCAAACCAGTATTAGTGATGATACAGCGTATTCTATTTTCTACACTTGTTTTAATTTATTACTTTCCTACCTATACTAGGTAAGGAAAGTATTGCGATTGAGTCAAATTTCTGATATGCGGTTTTTGACAGATCTATACGTTTCAGAGCTGCCTTAGTTTTTTATTTTCATTTTTAGTCTCTTTTTTGAAATTAATGAAATTCCTTACAAAACTATATAAAAATCGTTCATTTCGAACAACTATTAACAAAGTTACAGCTATTCAAATTTTTATGTAACATTACTGGGTCATATCCTTGTGTTAGAAAGGGGTGAATGAGAGAGAAAAAAGAAAACTAAGTGAAAGTAAGAAAATCTGTTGCCCGCATCACACAAGTTTCACTACTTCCTCTACTTTTAATAGAAATTGTGTGACAAAATTAGCCTATGGAAAAAAGTTTTTGATTAGCAATATTAGGGTATTGAAATTTTTACACTGATCTACCTTAAGCCGGTTTACATTGCTTTAGTTTATCAAAGAAATCGTACTCAAATCTTTTCTTTAATCAATTTCAGGAAAATAAATCTTATTCAATTTTTTTTGTTTCTTAATAGACATATTTAAAGAAATTAAAAGATATAAAAACTTCTGAAAGAGGTAGGAAAGTCGTGTGAGTAGAAACACCTAATTTTTTGTTGAAAGGTTTATGTCTAAGGTCATTCCAAGAAGAATCTTAGAATTCAACTGTACCATCGGCCATTTTGTTTCAAAATGGCAACCGATTAGAGGTTTTATTCAATGAGATTGCTTGGTAATTATGTTAGTAATTTTTTATCATCATTAAGGTCAGGAATTTCAATTCCCAAAATTTAAATTCTACAATGCAACAAAAAAATTCCTAGCCAGAAATACCACTAAAATTGGATAATGACCCATATTGTACATTTAATCAAAGCATCAATGTTTTGTCTTTTACAGCATCACGGCCCGATATGAATATAGTTGATTCATTAAAAGCCCTTAGTAGTGGAAAAGGCAATAGTGCAGAGAATGAATACGAACTTAGGGTTCGCAAATTCCTTGAGCAGACTAAAGGAGATGATGATTATGAAGAAAAAGTACGGAAATTTTTGGAGGAAACCACCAAGTGGTAAGTTACGAAAAGCAAAGATACAAATGTTAATTTTATCTATAATCTGTTGAAATATAACTCATAAAATTATTAATTCAACTAAAATTTTTATCTTATCTTATGTATTAACATGGGTAAGGTAGTAGTGATATTTAAGAAGCACTTCATCAATAAGGCAAAGTTAGGTTATTCTGTTTTCAATGAAACCAAATTTCTATTTGAGATCATTAGTTTTTTATTTTATGTAATGATATTAATTTATGGATTTGTTTCATTGCAAAAAAAAAACGCAAATTATCTCACAATGGTTTGTTTGTTATTTCCAAACAATTATACATCTAAAGGGCCCCTTGAAACAGTCAATATTATATTAAACAACTCCCTCCCCCCTATCAAACATCTATCCATTTTATCATTAAAAGAAAATCAGTGGGGGATTATGTAGATGTGTATATTATTTTTTTTTTTCAGACCAAAATTTCTAATGTATTTCGGAAATAAAGATGTTCTGTTGCTAATAGTTAATCACAATATTGGGGCGGGGTGGCCAAATGGGCGCATGTGCGCAGCACCGTGAGTTGCCAGATAACCAGATGACCTGAATATGAGATTTAAAAAAAAGTACTAGTTCGCGTCCCGATACCAGAGGGGATCTTAAATTCGCCGCCCTTACCCTCTGGCCCGGTAAAATCCCGTATAGTCCAAAAGGCGAGGTGGGGAAGAACAGAAAAAAAAATAATGTTTCCGATTTAAAAAAGTATTACTCAAGAATTATTATTATTATAGTTCATTTTAAAAATATTGTTCAAAACTAATGGTCAGAATATGATTTTTATTAGTTATTATTATTTTTTTTTTTTATTTCCTACGCCTGCTTCGTTAGCCATGCTGCTCTTGCAGTCCAATACAATTTTGCTCTCCGAGCATAATAGCTGTCCATTTTATTAAAGCAACATCTTATGTCCTGTAATGCAGGGCATGTATCCTGATGTTCTCCTGTCATTATGTCTAAGGAACATAGAGGGCATATCGGGCTATCTTTTACACCGATGCGGTGGAGGTGCTTTTGAAGGAAATGGTGGCCTGTCAGCATTCTAAAGCATGCCACGGCTTGTCCTCTAGGGAGGTCTCTAAGAATCCTGCCACTTTCTCCCAGCAATCCACTCCATTGTTTCCCTTCAATTGTTTGTACATATTTCTCTTTCAGTGAACTTTGGAGGGTCTGCTTTATGATCCTTTTTGTTGATAGTTGATAGATAAATATCGGGTTGGATCATTCCAGAATATATTCTGGCCAGTTTATCAGCTTCATCATTTCCGTGGAGCCCGCAATGGCCTGGTATCCACTGGAAAGCGACTTCTGTCCCATTTTCCTTTAATTGGTTCAAATATTGATGGCATTTAGATTTATACTATATCCATTTTTTACATTTAGATTTATACTATATCCATTTTTTAGGGACAAAATGGCTGTCTGTGAGTCAACAAAGAAAGCAACTTTCTTGTCTTTTCATTCAGTTAACATCTCAAGGCCTAAGAGATTTGCTTTCACTTCCCTTTCAAAGTTTGTGGCTACCTTTCCGACCGGGGCGGCAAGTTGAAACTCCTTTGAATAAATACCAGCTCCGGCGTGTTTGTGTGCTTCCAGTGCAGAACCATCTGTATATACATGGAGCCATTCTGTCTCTGGAAATTGTTTTCCGATGGTTTCTAGGGTTATAGCCTTTTGTTCGTAAATTGGTGTTGTATCCTTAGAAACATTCTGAAGAAGATCACAGTGAACAACAAATTGGCTGGTGAATGGAACTTGTGTCAATGACGGGAGTGGCTCCCTTTCAGCTAATTCTAGTCCTTTTCTTTGTATCAAATCTTCCACTGCCTTAGTAAAAGTAATTTGAGTTTTAAGGCATTCAGGTGCGGGTTCATAGGTACTCCAGTAGTTGATCTTTAGACGTTTTAGCCTTTCATAGAGCGTAATGGCCAGTTGCTCCCGGTGTGTCTCAAGGGGTACTATGCCTGTTTGTAATTCTAGCGCAAATATTGGGGTTGATCTGCTCCCTCCTGTCACGAGTCTAAGGGCTTGATTCTGGATTATGTCGAGCTTGTGTAATATTGCGTCCGAAGCAGTGATAACAAGTTCTGCTCCGTATTCAATAACAGGGCGGACATATGTCTTGTAGGTAAGAGCCATAACATCCCCCGTTGCTCCCCATTTTGAGCCACCTAACCTCTGTATTAACGAAAGTCGTTTTGAAGCCTGTTCTATTTGTTTTTCAATGTGTTTATTCCAAGAGAGTCTTTTATCCAATTTCACTCCAAGATATATAGCTTCTTCTGTGCGTTTGAGCTCTTCGTTATTATGGTTCAAATTGATCTCGTGTGATTTGGTAGAGAGGGTAAAAAGTTGGAATTCTGTCTTTTCGGAATTAACGATCATCACGTTTTCATTGGCCCACTTCTCTAGTAATTTAAGTACATGTTGCATGTGCTTTTCTAGCCCTTAAAAGTCACTACTTGTTGCCCAAATGACGAGGTCATCTGCGTATAGCAGAGCATTTGTACCCGGAATAGTTTCAGTGAGTTCCGTGATATCATCAATCATGATGTTAAACGGGAAGGGACTCAGCACCGAGCCTTGTGGGAGGCCTTGTTTTGTTTGGCGATGTGACGAGACAACGTTTTTATATCGCACCCTTATAAACCTTTGATGTAAGAAAGAAGATATAGTCTTAAGCAGATATCCTGTGACTCCCTTGTCAACAAGCTATTTATTATCAATAGTGAAGATCGTCAAATTATTTTTAAAAATTCCATATAAATATTTTGATCAGATTTTATTTTTTTAATTATCGATTTCAAACCCTGGTTTCTAGATCTTAAAAATTTGTATGCAATTCTTGTTAACCTTAGTATCTTCCTTTCTGTTTTCATTAGTATTTCGGTACTGGTAGGTCCCGTTATATCCATTCCATATAACTTCTACAGATTTTATAGACCATACAACATAATGTTCTTCATACTACAATTTATTGTTTTGGTTTGCATTTTTGGTATAATTGGAATCATCCAAATCAGTGTCATAACAAATCATCTTCCTCACCTTCTTACATATTATGTCATAAATTTTATCCTGATTATGTTATACTGTCAATTTCTTTCGATTCTTAGATAAATATCAAACCTATCAAATTAATTGATACTACCTTCCCTACCAATTCTAGCTCTTGTTTAGTTATTGGTTTTTTTGTTGTTCACGGTGCTGTGCATACAACTTAGCCCATTCGGCCACCTCGCTCCCATTATTGTATTATTAGAACTGATGATTTGTAATTCATTTATTTTATAATTTTTTTTTTTTAACTTTCACAGGAAAAAAGAGCGTAAAGCCCAAGAAGAAAAAAAGAGGAAGAAGAAGAAGGAAAAGAAATTAAACAAAAAAAGTGAGTACGGCTTCCTTTGTATTTACATTTTTCTTTTTGCAACTTAAGGTAGAATTCATAGACTGCTCCTGAGGTAAGTGTAAAGAATGACTTACGAAATTGGAATTGCAGAAATCCATTTATCAGAAGTTCCCAACACAAACTATACAAATTGTTTACTAAATTTGAACTATTATGAAATATCATGAGTTATTAGTATTAATAACCTAAATATTATTAATATTTATTCGTCAACCTTAATGTATAAAATTATTATCCAAACATAGAATAGAATATATCAGATCTATGATATTAGTCAAATCGTATTAATTTATGTTGTTTTATCTAAATTTATCTTTTCCTAAGTAGGTTTGTTTGATATAGATCGTAAGAAGAAGCGTGAAGAAAAAAAGAAATTAAAGAAAGCAGCTAAGGAAGAAAAAATGAGAAAGAGAAGGCGAAGTAATAGCAATCTTGATGAAGATGATCCTTATGGAAGCAAATCTGATCTCAGGTTTGATTTTATATTATTGATAAATATTTGTAGGCTGAATATATTATATATTAAGGGTAAGTGTTGTGGTTGTGAAAATTTGAGTTTTCATGTTTTTGAGGCACCCTACCTTTGCTGATCCTCTCTCTTTACAGATGCTCGATACCACTCTGTACTATAATGCCTTCATACTGTTAGTTTAACTTACATGTATCACTTATACCATGATACTTACTGTCGTTGATTAGATTTCGTATCATGCCAGTAACTTTTGGAATCTACCAAACAATACATTATAAATTAACTTTTTTAATAAAACCTAAAATTTTATAACCCCCTTAAACATATTGTGTTAACCTAACTCACACTCCAGATGATCAATGCCTTCAACATTTCACAGCCATTATATTACTAACAATCATCTATATTAATTTTAAATATTAAATGGAATTCAATGAAATTTATACCAGGTAATTTCTATACTGTTCTCCAAGCATGGATCGAATCAAACTAAAGAAACTATAGGCTTGTCAAATAATAAATTTCCTGATCTGATAGCAGAAGTATTTTTTTTTTTTTTTTTTTTTTTTTTTTTTTTTTTTTTTTTTTTTAGTAGTAGTGTGCGGAATTTGATAAAATTCATACATACTTGATTATCTGTTTTATCAATCCCTAACGTCGCTGTAAATTTGAGCCTAATCGATCAGGCGGTTTTAGAGATACAGACATATCAAGGAAAACATGTTTGCGTATATATAAGAGAAAGTAGTGAACAGAATTCAATAAAATTTACACTACATAATTTTTAGTAAATTTAAATTAATTTTCAATCTGCGTTTGTACAAAAAAAAAAAAAATCTTATTACACAATATGTTTATATGTTCATTTCTATGTAAGTTCAACTGGCTTGTCGTGGTCTCAGTTTCATCCTTAAATATCAAAGTTATTTGAACTTCACACATATTTTTATATTAGAGTTAATTCTGACCAAACAAAAAGTTGAATTTTTCCTATTAAGTATACTTCACTACTGTTTGTGGAAAAGGTCATATGTAAATATTTTCATTTTTTATTCTATATGTTCTTAAGGTGACATTTTGTAGTTAAGAACTGATACAAGCAGTCTGCTATGATGGAAAATAGCAGAGAGCAATTAAATATGAAATTATTCTTATAAATCATAAAGAAACAATTAGTTCTTATGGTCTCCTATAAAACATTCAATTTTTACATACGTTCTTTTGCACTAACATTAATGTTCAGTATGCATTGGAATTTTAAAAATTACGAATCAACCAATATGCAATCCGCAACATTTTAGTGATCAATGAACAAAACTCATGAATATCAATATCCCCTCTGTATATATTGAGGGATTACTTAATTTCCAGAAACGGCTTATCCTAGAAATTTTATTCTCTTACGGAAAATGTTAGATCTTGTAATAAAAATATTTGGTAGCTAATAAAAACTGAGGAAGCTATAATGTTACTTTTTTAAATTAAGGACGTTTTTAAATTCTATTTGCTACATACTTCTCCTATCTATTAGCCTTATAATTTTGCTTAGTAAACTATTAACACTTAGCTTTAGCTCATATTAACTATGATTTATTATATTATATTTACACATATGCATTTTCTTTTTGTAGTCGGCTGATAGGACTTGATAGTATTCCAGACTTGGAAGATTTACAAAGTAAGCTTAGTGCTTATTATGCCAAAGTGGAAAAAGGTCCTAAAAAGTAGGTTTATTATATATTATAATTATGGTTTGATAACTTATTATTTGTTTTAGTACGTTATTTCAAAATTATCTTTTTACTATTTCAGGCATGATGCTAGTTCTGACGAGAAGGCCTTATATCATGCCAATAAGTTGAATAAATCGGCTTCGCCGAAATCAAACTATGAATCCAACGACAGGTCTTCTCATGAGCCTCCAAGCAGGAAAGGTAGATAAAAATAAAATTGTTACTTACGGTAATAATTTAATACTAGTAGACCCAGGCGAAACATTCGCTCAGCATATTGTTTTCAAATGCCAAATTAATAAGAAAACAAAATAATTCAACGTATCAAAAGATAAAGAAATCAATTGTTACCTTATCGATAAATATAATCGACAAAGGAAACGAAGATTAATTTAAATATTCATTAATGTTTCAAACCTACATGTTTACAAATTTCAGTAAGCTGTATCTTTGCTAAAAATTGTCCGATTTCGATGACTTTTTTTTTTCTTTTGTAGGGAATTTAGTAATCTTTTATATATAATCATGGGCATAACCAACGGAAAAGTGTAATTTTTTAGTTTTTCGCAAATAAAGTTTGTTTTCTTTCATAACTTGTTTGCCTGAATTTTCGGAGTGATTGGACTATTTTGCCCGCCTGAAGGAGAAGGAGGACTTGTAAATTGGTGGCTCAATCTTGAGATTTGGTGAAGAATTAACGATGATATGGCTTGCCGATCAAAAACACCATCGATAAATAATATAAACTCTTCCTCTCTCGATCATAGAGGCCTCAAGTCGACGAAATGAGACATGTATTCAATGACAGTACTACAATTAACGTAAGGTTGTGTGAATGCGAACCCTATGCCTTGCCTTATCTTGAAAATAGTACATTTTTGGACTTAGAAACGCAGGATCCAATAGTTGCAGGGAAACTATCCAGGTCTTGCTGTACGCATAAAAATCTTCAAGGTCAAATTTGTCGCGTATCGATCTACAGACCTACCAATGTTCCAGTACTGAAGCCTAGCAAAATCTTTGTATCGACTTTATTCATTTTAGAAAAAAAAAAAACAAGTGGAGAATACGATTCGCTAACCCCTCGTGACATTCTAAATCCAACAGTACCCCATTCATGGTATTTGAGCATGACAGGAGCTTATATTCGGTACAAAACCGATTTCGAGCCTTACTGTAATAATATATATGGGGATTGTAATTTATTGATAGCGTTTACATGAAGCGTGTTGGATGTCAATTGTAAACTTCACTCTTCTTTCTCATGCTGAGAAACTATATTTATATTTCACCCTTGGATTTATGATCCGGTTTCTTTTCTTTCTTTTTTTTTTTTTTTTTTTTTTTTTTTTTTTTTTTTTTTTTTTTTTTTTTTTTGTCAAAAGAAATCTAAGAAATAAAATATTAGAATTTAGACACATTGCATACAGAGAATGGGGTATTAACTTTTTTTTTTTTAAATTCAGAAATTTGAGCTGTTATAGTATTCAAGTAATAAAGATTGTATACAAGATTGAGATTTTCAAATAATAAACAAGAAAAGGTTCATATTTAGTTAAACATTTGAAATAATAGTGCGTTTGTGTGGTGGGAACCGGGATTTTGGCCTTTGTCCACTGTTATGTGACTTGTATGGCCGCCAAACACAATCAAACCTCTTACAATTCGAGTTTGTACAATACATTTTGAACTAAATATTTTAAATCAGAGACGATAGAGTGAGTGAAAAACAAAACAAAAGATATTTCTTGGATGGAAATTTTCGAAGCTGGAAACACCTGTAATCAAACAAGTATAAGATATTTAACGCTATTAGCTTGGCATTGGGAGGGTGTGATATAATCGAGTCTCCACTCTTGTGAAGTAGTTCTCCACCCCCTCCATTCCACTTATCTTTAACCATCTTCGCAAATATGCATCAGGAAAATTCAGAACATCTTATGTTAAAATTGAAAATAAAATATTTATGCAAGTTTCCTATTTTTCAGATACTTAGAGCATGCCAAACCATAAAATAAATAAATAAAGGTGCACTATAAAAATTAGTTTTTATTGAGTTATAAAATGTCATTTTAACAGACAAATTATGAGAATCCATATTCAATCCTATATGTTATTTCTAAAAGATTTTTTTTTTTTTGTTGGTACGCGATAACTTTGTCAATTCTTAATAAAATCCAATGATTGACCACTCATTTTGAAGATATTCTTTTCCTTCACACACGAAAAATAGTCCTATCCCACAAAAATTTCTGGGTAAAAAGTTCTGAAAGAAAAGAAACTTAATTTGTGATTAACTCAATAAGTATGCATTTTTTTTATTGATTGTACCCATGATAATTAGAAAGGTTACTAAATTACCTATCCATGATAATTAGAAAGGTTACTAAATTACCTATGAAAAAAATAAAAAAGATCGGACAATCATTAACAAAAATACAGTCATACAGTCTATTAGTTTTGGTATGCTTAATAATTTCTTTCTATTTAAAGATATTGCATTTAGGAGTAGAATAGTTTTCTACACTTTTTTTTCTAGCTGATATATTAACATTATTATTTCTTAAAGGCATTTGGTTGTTCTTACATTTTATTTTATTTTTAATAATTTAGAAAATCCCATGATCAGGGCATTATTTTGTCTTTATTATTTTTATTATCTTTCCAGTCAGCACTTAAAAATAGGTCCTAGCAAAAGCAATTTGTACAAATATTTTGGTCTATTATGTTTAATGGAATATTGTAATCGACGAAGGAATAAGTATATTTCCATATTGTTTTGCTATTTCTTCACTAAACAAAATTTTCTGTTAAACTTTCACTGGTCAACTAGATATTATTTAATAGTTAATCTCAATGTTAAAGTTTCAAAATATAAACAAGGTGTGTTAAAAAAAGTAATGGAAATTGTCATTTTAAAAAAAAAAATATTTATTCATCTACAACTATGTTATCATCTTTAACTCAATCCCCGAAACTCATCTGAAACTCGATCTTCATGATCGCATGTAGTTCTTTCATTCCTTTTCATATTCTTTTTATTTTTGAAAAGAGAAAAAGGTTATTTCAGGTAAATATGGAGCCTAGGCCATCATTAAAGTGTTGTTTATCATCAAAAATTTATGATTAAGCTATGAAGTGTGTATTGTGATTCGTAGTTTGTTCATAATTATTTCTTTCACTTTTTCCGTATTATCATTAGTTGTTGAGCTGCTGGTGTGTCCAAAACTCTCGTCATTAATCTATTCTTTATGCACCTAAAGCGATATTCAACATTCCTAAAACTTTATTACATTTATTCCGGTTTTACAGCAAAATTGATTGCAAATTCTCTGGTCTATTTATCTAACGAATCAAATAAGTACAAGTAACATTCTTCGCAATTGATGAGAGAGAAATCACTCAATATTGCTCTACCAGTATAAAATTCGATTTCAGACATATTCACCATCGTAACTACGAAATATTACACGAATTTGACTAATACAACCTGCAAAATATAAATTTTCCATTTCTTTTTAAACACACCTCGTACTGGTATAAAATGAGAATGAATATGTGTTTTAAGGTTTTATTTTTCTTTTCTCTTTTTTTTTTTTTTTTTCAGTTTCAGTAGTACATTTTACTTTAATATAAATCTATTAGAAACAAAATTTTAAAACTGGAATATTTATATCGCGGCTTCTATTGACATGTTTTTTTTATTTTGTTTATTTATTTGTTTTTTTCCTAGCAATTATTTTTCTATTCCTTTATTTTTATAAATACATATTTGTCAGGAGGTAAAAAGAGCCTTGATATGTTTGAAGAATCGCCGTCGGTAAGCAGTCCTGATAAAGAAAAGTCTCAACCTGAAAGACCATCTCCACAGCCTCAACAGCAGAAATTCAAAATGCAACTTTCGAACGCTGGAACAAAGTGAGTTTTTTAATTTATTTATTATTTTAATTTATTATCCAGTAAAAATCAGTTATCAGATCAGTCTCTAGTTTTTAGTTTATATTTGTAAACATAGCTTCGATATGTGTCATCAGTTCATTATAAAAAAAACTCAGACTAATCAGATTTGACTTGAATAGACTGGATTGATGACATTGATTTGAGAGCGCTCCGAGGTTATAAGTAGAGAACGGATTTTCGTGCAGTAATAAATGGAAAAACGTACAGTATAGAACTCAAAACGTACAAAATTATTCAGTAAAAATCCTACAAGTGTAAAATTGGATGGATAACATGCAAAAATCAAATTTTTGTTTAATTCATAATATTAATGCTTGTTTACTCTTATGTTAAGGGTTATACCCTCTAAATTGAAGTTAGCTACAGCGTGTAGAAGAAACATGAGAAATATCTAATTCTAATTAAAAATGAACAATGATTAACCTAATTCTGTATAAAAGAAAAGCAGCGTACAAAAAATGGTACTCCTTAAATAGCCAGTCCGGTCAGACTGCTATCTGCCACTGTTTATAACCTTAACGCTGATAATTCCTATCTTCCTATTCATATTTATTGTATTATATTCATATTATTGAAATTATAATATATATATATATATATTGAATAGACAAAAAGAATAATAATAACAAAACAGTTTGATTAAATACTTTTATTTTACTTCATAAATATTAAATAGACGAAAACAAATGTAATAATAACAAAACTGTTTGATTAAATACTTTTATTTTACAACATATATATTAAATAGACCACAAGAAATGTAGAGAGAGAATCACTTTATTATCATAAAATGGTGCTGCCCAATTACATTGGGTTGCTAACAACACATCATACTTATAATTCAGTACAGACAATTTTTAAAAATAATATACAATTATATAGAATGAGCATAGTATACAATATTTTATATATATATATATATATATAATATATATATATATATATATATATATATATATATATATATATATATATATATATATATATGTATATATATATATATGTGTGTGTGTGTTATTATTTTATTTTTATATATATTTTTTTCCCTTTTTTTTCTCTTTTTATTTACTTTATTTTTACTATTTCTTTCATTCATTTATCATCATTCCATACTCTTTCTCTATCTTCTCTCCCCTTATACTTTTTTTCCACTTCTCATATTCTTTTCTCATAATAATAAAACAATTATCCCGGTGTCTTAAAAATATTTGATAGCCTCTTCTTCTGAAGACGACAATTCCCACAATGTAATATAATTTGGTGAAAATCACATTAATGGAACAAAAATAAAGGATGTAATAACTCGAAATAAGAAGGGAGGTTATGGGATGTAACATTAGATAACAAGGAAGGTTTCGTCCTAATCAGCTATTTAAGGAGTACCCAAAAAATTAATCATATATTTTTAAAAACGCTGCATTTTTTTTTAATTGAGGCTAGATTTTACAGCTGTAGATCAATTTAAATTTTTTTTTTAAAGTAGATTTTGAGTTAGGTTCCTTAGCTCTTATTAAAATCCTAAGTGTTTCATATAAACCTGCGGTGTTTTGTAAAATAACATTCAGCCAAGCTGCAATAAAACGTTTTTTTACAAATACTTTCACACTTGTTTATGTTTTGTAACCACGAATAACAGAACTATGAGAATAAGGAGCTTTGTAAGTGACTATATTCACTTGCATTAAATTAAATTATTGAATATGTTACCCTCAATTATACTATAATTTATGCAATAAAACGTGTTTACTCGGATAGTAACTTTGTTACCTATATCAAACAAGAATAATCTAATATATTTTTTGATTATAGAAAGATAACTTGAAAATATTATATTGAATTAAAAAAAATATATTTCTGGCCTTGTACTCTCCGTGGGTTGAACATTCCTGTTCCTTACTAAAATCCTAGTATAAATATAATCAATGTAAATAAATATTTGCTTGCATACCTACGTACATCTTATAAAGTGAGTTTGATTCATGTATTTCACCTAAGCGAACAAACTGTGCAATATGATATGAAAATCCGGTCTCTAGTTATAAATATATGACCATGGTTGTCTTAGCATAACTAAGTTAATATTAATGTTATTGGTCAGTAGATGAAAGATAGGTTATAGAAGTCCTGGATCTTAGATATTTGGAGTTATTTTTTGATATAGTTTTTTGATTTCCCCAATAACAATAAGAAGTGTAATACCCTTTTTATTATAAATATATAGTCCGTGGTACTGGGGCCCCTTTTTATCAGATTATTAACATCCACTTGAAACTACGTGAACGGAGGTCGAAAAACTTATTTAATTATTTACTAAAAACTCGTAAATACTCATTCGCTTTCCACTTGGATCATAAGATAACTTCAGCACAAAGTCTAGAAAAACGGTGACCTTCAAACATATTGAGCCATTTGGTGTGACCTACACCCTCAAATCAAAGATGAATCATCATCAAAAGATGCAATTTTTAAGATTTTCCGCAATATTGAAGTTTTTAATTTTATACCTCCTTTATTAACCGGCCATGTCTTGGTCCTGACAAAGGCAAATCAGCAGGATTCTACTATATGAATAGTTTTAGTGTTGAAAATTTAAATTATTTGTAACAGCTTTATTAAACTTAATATTTATCTAAGAAAAAAAAAAATACTAACAAAATTTTAATGATGTAGAGATGGTTGACCGTTGATATGATATGAGGAGTTAGTCGAGGGTACGGTCAAATAAATAAAAAAATTAAAATATATAAATAATTTTAATTTTTGCCGACGTTTCGACCCACTTTGCAGGTCGTCTTCAGGGCTACAAAAGATACAAACATGTTGAAAAAATAAAAATAAAATAAATATAAGTATATATAAATTACGAAGAAGTTGTCAGATACAGAAATAAAAGATAAAGAAAATAAATACATGATAAGAAAATAGATAAATACATGAATGTTAACGAATAAATGAATGTTAACGAATAAATAGATTGAAAATTGAATAACTATTGTTACAGTAAAGTTAAAATATGGATAAGATAACATAATAATAAGATATCAGTGGATAACAAGCAAGTGGAGGTTACCTTTAATTGTAAATAAACAGATAATGGGACCAAAGGTTAAGAAGTGAAGAAATTGAAAGATTAATAGGGTAACATTAGTGTAATATTGTTGGGATAGATTATTAAGTATAAATAACTCTATAAGAAAACAATAATTTTAAAAGAATACTTTAAAATGTAAGAATAAATGTAAAAACAAGGTTATGATGATAAAGAAACAAAAAACAGGTTGTACTATATATAGATGACAATTGACATTTAGTTTTTTGAAAGCGGTAATGGAATGGTAGGCTGCATGAAGATAATAATAAGGTGTATAGTTGAAGGATAGGTGTGTTAAGAAAAGAATCACAAAAAAAGTCAAAAACTACCGTAGGATGTGGCACTGCGGGAGGCAGTTGAAACACTGGCAGTGTTAAAAAACTAGTTACAGTGGCTTAATGATATTATTATTGAGCCACTGTAATTTATATATACTTATATTTATTTTTTATTTTATTTTTATTTTTTCAACATGTTTGTATCTTTTGTAGCCCTGAAGACGACCTGCAAAGTGGGTCGAAACGTCGGCAAAAATTAAAATTATTTATATATTTTAATTTTTTTATTTATTTGACCGCACCCTCGACTAACTCCTTCTCATAACAAAATTTTAGTTTGAATTTAATTACCAAATAACTTTAATGAATCATTTGTCTGAAGTGGTAAGTTTTTTTTATTAAAAAAAAAAACTTATTTAAAACCCTTCAGATTTTATTAATAATTTTAATTGTTAAATATACATCTTTTCTTTCAGATTAAAGAAGAAAGATAATAAATCAGATGACCCGATCTCTGAAGCCTGGGATGAAATAGAGGATAAAACATCCACCAACTTATTAAAAGATGTTGCTCCGCCACCATTACCTCCAACATCAAAGGATGAAATGGTACAGAATTTGAAAAAGATTGTTGAAAAGAAAAGAGAATCTTTAGAAGCAGCTAAACCGGCAATTACCTCTGCTCCTTCTGTAATGGATAAACTAGGCGGCTTTAGGATAAATCCTGCTGCAGTCTCGAATAGTTTCCGAAAGGATACTGAAGAATCTGATCACAAGAGGAAAAGTAGAACCAGAGATAGTGATAGTGAATCTGAAAGAGATGAAAAAGATAAGGGCTCTGTATCGTCTAGAAGTCGATCCAGAACTCCAAGGCCAAGAAAGAAATACAGTGGATCAGAGAGTTCAGGAGAATCTTATAAGGGAAGAAGTCGTTCTAAATCTGGTTCTTATTCGAGACCAAGAAGATACAGAAGTTCCGAGTCTGGTTCGTATCGTAGTCGTTCATACAGCAGATCACGATCTAGGTCCAGGTCTGGTGACTACAGGAGGTCTCGTTCAAGATCAGACGACCGAGGCTACAGGAGTAAATATCCTGGTCGTTACCCAAGGAACAGAGGCACATATTATAGGCCGAGATTTCAGAATAATTCAGGCAATTATAAAAACAGAGGCTATGGTAATCGAATGGGAGGATACAGAAACAATAGAGGTGGATACAACAATTATCGGGACTACGGTAATAGAGATTACAGGCGAGGTTTCGGAAGAGGTGGTCGAGGAGGAAGAGGACGAGGTGGCCCTAGATATTTCCAGCATCGTAGGGAGTACAGAGACTATAAAAGGTACGATCGTGGAGGTTCAAGATCAGATGATGACAGGGACGATAGCCCTATGAGGAAGGTAGATGCTGCCAAAGAGAGGATTGACAAGATGATATCGCAAGAACAGCACAGTGGGCCCTTAAGTGAAGGGGAAGAAAGAGACGATGATTATAGCAGCAGTAGAAAGGATTATGATGGAAAATGGAACAAAGACGATGGACCTCAATCGTCGACTACTGAGAAGGCTTAAATCGTTACCAATTATTTCATCATTATTATAGAATTTTTAATTATCTCTTTGTATATAAAATAACGAAGTAGGAAGAAAAAGACATCAAATTTAATATATCTATAGAACTTAATAACATTATTTGTTCCAATATAGATATTTTATTTCAAACAAACAACTTAGTTTTAGATTGCTTTTTCATTTTATTTCTATGATTATTAGCAATTGTCCTGTTTTAAGTGTTTTATTCCAGATAAATGTTTTATTAGTAATGTGAGTAAATGATTGAATTTTTGTGTGTATATATTCATCTGTGTATTCATTTCTTTTTTTTCTTTTTTAAATCCCTTTAATTTCCTATTCAATGATCTCTTGCATCAACCTTTTGAAGATGAGTTAACTGTGACGATTTGATTTGATTTCATCTTACTTCTGTATAAGAATCATTTCCATTTTTTAAAATTTTAAAATGAAACATTAATATCATTATTGGCTCACTGTAGCAATTTTCAAAATGTATGTTTAAATTAATTTGCTGTGAATAATCATTAGAATTTTTTTTCTCTATTTAATTCAAATCGAAAACAATTTGAGTGACATCACTTCCTTTATGATTGATTTGTTTTTTTTTTTCTTCTATTCCATCCTTCATTGGTTTAGAATAATAAAGAAACTTATTACTTTCAAAATTTTTCTTTATCGCTGTACAGATTCTTAACATATTGTTTAGTTCACGATTACATTTTTCAAGTTTTCTGTAACCATTTACTTTTTATTTGTAGTATATGTAATAAAATTTCCTCTTTCTATGATTTTTGTTTATAATTCCTTAGAATTCTCTATCTTGGATTTACTTTAACCTTGGTTTTTATTATGGGTATGTAGATTTAACTAAAGAGTTTCTCATTGATGAGAAATTGAGCATGAAACACCCCCCCTCCACCCCCCAACATAATTCATATTTTCAAAACAATTAATGTCAGCCAAAGATATTGGCTGGAGGTATCTAGGAGCAATTTAAATATGATATAATTTAATAGCCACATGGAGAAAATGAAAATAAATAGTCTTAAGTCTGTGGTATGGACAAGTTCCTAAACTCAACAGAAATTCCACTAATTGAAGGAATCCATCAATTGATGGACAGTCCTTTATGTTATGAAAGGCCTGCTGGATTCTAGCACAAAATTAACACTCTTGGAAGGTTATAAAACAAATGAGAAAAAATATAGTAGAAGTCTTTACTTACTCTATTGTTGAATTTAAAAAAATATATAGTTAGATAAATAAGCTGAATATAAATATGTAAAGTAAATTGAGGTGTAAAAATACTGAAAACTTGGATGAAGATTGAAGTCATTGAATCTAACATGTACCACTACAATGCATGAAAGGTTCAGTACTAAGTAGTGGAGGTAATATTTATTGGTCAATGGTTGTGTAAGGAGGTGATTTGAACAAGATCATGCTCAACCGCCAGGTTCTCCATGAGGGTCTCCCAGCTCCAGGGTCGATTCATGGCCGATGAAACAGAATAAATAATTTGTCATAAGTCGGGAACCTAGGATCTTGATTATTGGAAGTTCAGTACCCTAGTATTCATTTTTCCTGCAGTCATTGAAAGCACTGACAAATTTCTTTGGGTCAACATTTCGGTCTATGTTTCTGGGCCAGATAATGAATGAATTAATAAATATTGGAATGGAAAATATTTTTATTCTGCTGTTATGTTAAATTTAACTGCCTACATATTGTTATCGTCTACTATTTTCTCAGTATTTATTTATTATCTAGTCTTTTCTTAATACTGAAACATCAGCGCGAAGAAAATAAATATAATTTATTGTTGTGTACTTCGCCAATGACTGCAATCTGCAGCCAACTTCTTTTCGACAATATCTTCCAACATCATAAAAACACAAATCTTTCATTATCTATATCAATTGACCCTAGAAGTTGATGGAACTAATGAATTATTGGTGTTTGAGTAAAGTTGATGGAACTCTACTGTATTATTGGTGATTGAGTAAACGAATGAAGCAACTTCTACTTTACAAAGTCAAGTTATTCTTTAGGTACTTATACATATGCAAGCCCCTAATGCTTAAAGATGATTAGTAATACTGTATTTATATCATGGCTTGAAAATTAAAAAAATAAAGTTTCATTTTAACTATTTTGAAGTAATGTTATTTAAAAAGAAAGATTTTGGAATAAAAGTAAGGAACTTTTATGTGACTTAAGTTCTGAATTAATTTTATTTATTTTTTTATTAAAAAGCTTTAGTCACATTAAAAATGGTTTAGAATTAAAAGTAATTTTCCACATAACCCCTCATTCATGGTCAGTTAATCAAAACTGAAAAAAAAAAATATCTTTCCAAAACTGGTAAAATAATTTTGTGCATTTATTACAAAAGGGGAGCATAATAGTTCAGTAAGGGACTATGTTCAAGATCCAGAGTTTGAGTCACACTGAGGCAGGTAATCATTTATTCTGGTGTATCACCCTATCCATAAAATGGGTACTCTTGATAAAAACAGTATTAAGAGGGGAAAATACACTGTGGATGGTAAAGTTACGGAAGAATGCAAAATGTATTGAATCCAGGGTAATGGGTGGTAGTGGTATTATTTTTTATAAAAGTATTAATATTTTCAACCAAGAAATTAGTCATTGTCAATGAATTGATTTACTTTGATTATGATTATAAATTGATTTAAATGTTATCCATTAAGACTGATAAGTGTTCTGAGTGATTTAGCAACTCAACATAGCTGTGTAGCTGTATAGTTTTATTGTGCTCCTTTTAAAATTGTGATTTCAGCCGACCTAAGAGTTACTTCCCAATCTTGTAGAAGACAAACTTACTTCGCTGGCACTACAGTCCAAGGTAGACTTAGGCCTCCCGCAAAATTCCATTCCATGCGTTCCGATCCAATGATTCCAATCCTTGCCAGATCCTGATCCAGCTATCGCCTCCTAGGGCGTCTTCTTTTTTTTTGCCTGACACGTTCTCTCCCATTATTCTCTTTGTCATTCTGTCATCTTACATTCTCTGCACATGACCTAGCCAGCTGATCTTAGTGATTTTATGAAGCGTAATAATGTTTTCATGCCTTATCAAGTCTTCAAGCTCCTGGTTATTTCTTCGTGAACTGGACCAAAAATACACCTTAGAATCTTCCTTTCAAATACACTTAGCATGTGTCTGTCTGTAACTTTCAGCGTTCAGGTTTCTACCCCATAGCAAACAACAGTTGTGAAGAGGTTTACAAGACCGTAATATGCTCTATTTTCTACCATGATTCGTTTCTTGATCTCTTCACTCACCTTTTTTTCACAATTAATATTTACTCCAAGATAAGTTAAGTGTTTATCTGCTTTAAACGAATAATCATTAAACTGGGAGTCGGTTAACGTTCTTGCTCCAGATGCAGACACCACCATGTACTTTGTCTTTGATTCATCCATCTCTGTAGGCCAACATTTTTACACCAGTTTAGTGAGGACTTCCTTTATTGCTCATTTGCTTCTTCCAAGAATCACGAGGTCATCTGCATATCTGTGAAGTAGGGGTTAACCAAACTTCCTTTTTGTTCAATTGTTTTTAAGGCTTTGTGGAGAGCTAAGTTAAACAGTATGACCGATTGAGCATTACCTTGTCAAACTCCACCGTTGAAATGACATTCGTTGCTCATTCATTCTAGAAGACAAATTCAGCAAGAATTTAACTGGCAAATGCCAGAATTTTCCAACAGATTTATATAAAGCAATAGATTTGTATTGTAATAATCTTAATAAAAATTCAAATTTAATGTTGAAGGCTCTCCTGATTTTTATTAATGTGAAATAAAAAAAAAAATTCCAAAGTTAGAGGAAGTAATACAGAGTTACCAACAAGAACTACAGATATAATGTCCATTAGAGAAAGAAAAGAAGTCATTGATACAATAACCTGTGCCATGTAAGTTACCTAAGTCTTACCTTTAAGTTCCATCAAGTATCTCATCCATAAAGAAACTTGCTTTTTTATTATATTGAGATATCAAGGACCAAGTAAATTATTTATTGAGATATCAATTAATCTTGATATTCTTCTCTCGTAATCTCATACTAGCACCTACCTCATAAGGAGGAAAAACCTGCTCTCATTTACACCAAAAATTTCATCGCAGTCTTAGGAACAAGTTACCTATTCCAAAATGGACTTGATATTAAATAAGCTATTGACTTAATAATTTTAACTATTCCAGGTTTTGTTTTCTTCATTCTGCTTTATGGGCAGAGTAGCTCAGTGGGTGAGCGCTGACTTCCAGAATTAAATGTTTTAGGTTCGAGTCTGGGTAATTTTTCATTAGCCCTAGATGGACCTTGGGGTCAGGAGACCTTCCTGGGGCACACCCAGCCTCTATAAAGTGGGTACTCTTAATTAATTAAGAGTGAAAACCGGGGGAGGGTTGAGCATGATCTCAGTCCAATTAACTCTCTGCTTAGCATTGGCCCTATATTAGTACTGAAGCCATGACCCTTTATGGATTGTAGTGGTACAGGAATAAAAATTAGTAAAACATAGTTATATGTAGTATCAAGCCGATATCGAAAATACTCAAGTAATTATACTTCCTCCTTCAGAAGAGTAGTGGTAGATGATAGTACATTAATCAACCATTGACCAAAAGGGCCTAATTTAATGCAAACAATGTTTAATGCTTAATCACTTTGGTTTCTTATCAACGATGATCCATAATAAAATACGTTTGTTTTGTTCATTTCTAAATTCCTGTTCGTTTAATTTTTTTTTTGAGCGATGAGCGATAATTGGGTACATAGGATGAAAGATGCGTAAATTTGAGTTGTAATAGAATTCAAATTATAGATACTGCGTATTTAAAAAAGTTCATATTTAGACTAAACTTAGAAAGAGTGAGTTTGGAAGTTGTGATGGGAAACGGAGGTGTGAATGAATCCATTTTGCGGGGATAGACTGGTGGCAAACTTCTCTCAGCTCACCTTTATAAGTCCTACAAGGTATTATATTTTAACTTACAGATTCACACTATAATAAAGAAGTGGAGGATTGAAAAATCGAAAAGATACATCTTTGATGGAGGTTTTGGAGCTGAGAACACCTTTACAACCTAATAGATATGAGATACCCAATGGCATGACTTCAGAATATCAAGCGTTTTAACAGGTTTTTATAAACGATAGCTAGTTGGGTTGTTTTTTGAAGCGTATGTGCGTCGAGCAGCCATTTTACAAGGAATTGTTTACGGGAATTTAAAATATACTATTAATGCTGAGCATTCGTTAGAGATTGGAGTGACGAGTAAAAACTATTGGAGGCTGAAAGCATATAACCCAGACATACACTTGGGAGCGCCGATCTAGAGGGACGCCCTTCCAGTTGTAGCTTGTGGTTGAGAAGCCTGGGCATTTATAAAACCGCATGAGAATAGACTTCTTGTCTTGGGAAATTTAATCTTAAGAAGACAGTTCTGTTGGAGAGGATGATATCTGGAGAAGAATGAAGGACGTAGGCTATTATAAGGATACCCACCTCATGAAGTTCATCTGACTACGGCGACTGTGGTGGGTGTGAATGGATGTGCTGAGATACCAAGACGATGTTTATGGGTATATTCCATCGCAAATATAGGCTGTTTGGTTATACATTTGATGGAAGGACTCTGTTTTAACGGATACAAGGTTTCTATCTGGAGTCTGTAGCTTGAAACTTGCAGCGATTGACTGGAGAAAGATTTGGAAGAGGATCTTTGGAAGTACCGTTCACCCACTCAGTTTAGTATGAGGTTTTAAAAAATAAAGTATTGTTATCAATTATCTGTTTAAAAAAAAAAACATAGGGAGATGGTGGCGAAGAAGATTATTTTTGGGAGGGTTGACTTTATATAATTAAGGTCTCTTGCAGAGCATAATAGTTTGATACATCTTAGGATAATCCATCTTTACTGCCTTAGCAGATGGGCGTAAGGGCTTATCATTAAATATATATATATATAGTTACTACCATTTGTTCTCTATTTTTACAGATTAATAAAACCTAGATGTAATTGATTTGAAGGCGAGGCAATGATACGTATTTAGCTGGAATTATTATACAAGTGGTTATGTTTAATTATAATTATTAATCATTTGCATAATATTAACAATAGTATTTGAACTCAATAAAAAAAAAGAAAAGAAAGAAAAAGGATCTTATTTGCGTAATCTTACGTAAATTCAAGTTCTTGTAGATCTGTTATATAGGTTAGATATAACAAATTCTTGAATTGTTCTAATCATTTAATGAAGCCTGTTTTACAAAACATATTTAAAGATCTAATAATACTGGCCAGTATTTTATAAAAATAAATATCACTTTGTTGATAGCTGTTGAAGTTTATATTTACTTGGAATATAATTAAAAAGATCATGGCCACGTCGTAGACCAATAGAATGTCTGCTTGATAGGAGTGCTCTCTGTAGTGAAAGATTAGATCAGTTTTGGAGTCTGAAGTGTTCGTCTTATTTTTCGTTTGTGAAATTAATTAACACTGTGTTATGCTTTTATTAGTGTTTCTCAAATGGTGTTGAAGTTCGAATTTCATTTCTTGATTATTCTTGCTCAAGTTTAACAACCGTGATGTTATTGAAATACACACAGTATCAAAAAAGAAGCAAATTCGCTGCGAATGGGCAGGCACACAGAACAACCGGTTCGTACAATTTTTAGTTTAATTTTAAGATTTTGTTTGGAATAGTTATTAATCATTCTTTACACATTATGTTCATATATCTGTTTACTGTTTCAATATATTCTATTTTGGGTTTGTATTTGACAAGTGTGATATATATAAATAAATAATGCAGCCATGTTAAATATTTAAACTTTAATTACTGTTTTGTATTTATGTTATGTGCGTTTCTTCAGTACAGACTTCAGTGTCTATTTAATAAGTGTCGGTGAAAAGTTTATGTATGTAATATTTTTTTATGTTTTATTTATATCAATTGTGGATTACTAAGTGGTCCTGAAATCTTTCCTATAGTGAAAGACATTATAAATATGTTTTTTTTTTAAATATGACAATTTTAAACATTTTTATTAATTTATTCATTAAAATATTTTAATGAACTTTGTGTATATGATAACCCTCTTTCAACTAACTATAGAACTGGTTATACAAGAATGGTTTGGTCAGTTAATAGCTTAGGAAATTTGTTAGTTAATTGATTGATATCTCGAAACTGTAAACATTTTTAAATTATTTAAATCTTTTTTCCAATTCTATGCATTGACATAACTGTTATTTTCCATATTTTACCTATTGACTTTTACGTTATTAATTACTAATATTGTTTTAGCAATGATTCAGTATAATTAAAGTTTGCTTTTAAATTAAATAACTTTTTTTATCTTAATTCTCCTTCTTTAACCTAGCAAAATGTTTGATTATAAATTGACAAATATGACAGCTCCCTCCTTACAAAGATAACCTTGTTTGTCCTCCATTACATAAATCAACTTAGTTATAACATTTTTATTTTTATTAATTAATGAAAAATCTTATTTTATTTCTATAATCATTTTAAGGATGCCGAATTAATTTTTGTTTTTTTAACATATATATTTCCTATAAATATGTAATTGATAAAATTAATTAAATAATATGTTTTAGCTGTTTTTCTGAGTTGTCTATTCATTAATGCTAGATAAAGTACAAAATCAGTTATAGTTTAAATTTATTTGATTGTAAATATTCATTCACTAAACTAATAAATGTTGAATTAGAAAAGTCATATTTACAGAACAATATTTTGTAATAGATAATATTAGTGTGAATTTATTTTAGAGTACTATTATTGTACGTTTTATCGCCATTTTGTTTAAGATGGTTAGAATTCATCAATGACATGGACACCAATAAATATCAATTACATAAAAAATGTGCAAACTTTTTATAGTATCAGTACTTCATTACTTTTGGTAAAATCCATTGTTATATTTACAATTCAACTTATTTAAATTTTGCTTATATATGGAAATATTCAGTTGAATAGATCTATTTTTTAATTTTTTATTATATTGGAATTTATAAAATGTCTCCTTACATTTCTTTATTATTTAGATACTTAATTATTAATCATTATAATGTACACGGATACTTCTAAAAATAAAAGATTTTACTTACTTCAATGTTTGAATTAAACCTTATTAATGTTAATTTACTTTAAAAAAAATGTTTATGTTGCTGCTATTTGAAGTTTAGTGTAACAGGATGTATTGCATTTAAAGTACAAGAACAACTTGTCACTGACAACAAGGAGCTGCCATCTTTAACTTTTGTATAAATTACAATTTAATTTTTAACCTGGAGTAAAATTTATATTATAATGACAAAAATATTATTTATTAGGAAAAATTGTTTCCAAAAAAAGCTATTCTAATTAGATATACAAAATCTTGCAACAAACTGGATATTCTCTTCTTTTGCTTCAATGATATTCTCATTCTTTCTATTATTCTCGGTTCTCAATAACGTATTACTTGATTTCATCATATGTCGTCATTAAAACTGTAGCTAGCTTCTGCGAATAACCAGGAGAGTTAATTATCTTCATACATTTGCTCCTTTCATCACAAAGATATTCTATGGGATTTAAGTTTGGGTTTCAAGCTTACAATTTAATCATTTAATCATTTTGTTTAAAACAATTCACTAAATTGTGTTCATAATACTGAAGTGAGCTTAAGTTCTAATTGGCGCCGAATTAAGGCTTGAAAATTAACGAATAATCTGTCTTAATTGAGAGCACGCAATGCGGAATGATTACTAAACTCTCTTTGGATAAGCTCTGGAGAAGTGCAAGTTTCATAGAAGTCGCCAAGGTGTTATTTCCAACTACGATATTACAAGAAGAATGTAAGATAGAGTCTGTGGAGTTAAGGATTGCAAATGAAAATGGTGGTGAAGTATGATAAAAGAATTATATTCAATCAACAGAGTTCTTAATAACTATTTTACTATAATGTTGATTGGTTTTATTTTAGGTTAATGTTTATCTCTAACGGATTAAACTTCCAGCCTGAAGTCTTTTCTTTCTCTTCCTAAAAAAAAAACTTTTTAATGGTTTGTATTTCTTTTTATGAGCCAATTCTTGATCCGAGCCAAATACCAAAAGAGTTTAACTCATGAAATTAAATCTGAGTTATAACCGTTACTGATAGTTATAACTGCTCTAAATTATCTAGGATAATTATCTTACACTAAATAATTATTGATTTTTTATCATTGTGATAGCTTATGATTCATGACATTAGAAAAACAACTAAATAGGGTAGAAAGAATAGTCTTTAAACATAAGATATATTGAGAGTTATTGGGTTTACATGATCTATATTAATAATAATAATAATAATAATAATAAGGCTTAGCGAACCCGTAAGTTCGATGCCGACACCACCAATCAATGCCGACACCACATGATCTATATTACTGATTAATAATAATTTAATTAGAAAACATTAAAAACAAAACAAATTAATTAATGTTTTTGGTACTCTAAGTAACATATTTATCAGTAAATTAAAATATATTCATTTTTTTTTTTTGATGGCCTTAGTTAATGCATGCTACTTTTTAATAAGAGAAAGTGACCTACTTTATACCACCCTCAAGTATTGATGTTGTTTTGATATGCCAAACAAATTTCTTTAATATTTAAATATTTTGTTGATATTTGAATTGAAAAGTAGTGATTAATTTGAGAGAAGTTGGTTGGGCTGTTCAGTCAAAATAAAAAGTAAAATTAAATAAATTATATTTATTTTTATGAATCAAAATTGTCAGGATTTACAGTCAAGAATTTCAAAGTGTGTGGGATGATTTAATATTTGTCTATTGTTGAATAAACTGAATTAGAGATATTTTTAATGAAATACAATTCAAATAAAATTTAATACATAACATCCTTAGTATGTGTGTTATTTTCTTCTCGTAAATAACATTTTTATTTTTGCGAGGAGAGGGATGCGTTTCTCATGACATTTTGTTTAAGTATTTGGCTCAGATGATATTTAGAAATAATTATAGACCCATTAAAAACAAATTAATTTACTATTTTTTGGTAGATGGACTTCAGTTCAAACGACCCTCTCCACCCCTTTCGAATTTTTAAGACTTCGTTAGAAATAATGTTAATTATTATTTTAAAGTAACAAGTATTGGTATTTTTTAAATAGGGAGCATTTTATTTACAAAGTAGGTTAATTATTTATAGAAAACGGTATTTTAATTACAAAGTAATAGCAGCATTTTGTATTTTAATTACAAAAAAAAAATGCAGATATTAGTTGTTGTTCATGAGAACTAATTGTTTAAAAATCAAATATGTTTTTATTAATTCTTTAAATAAAAAATTTAAATGGCTGGTGTGTTTTGGGTTGGACACTCCCCTTGTTAGTCATAACTAGTTCAAACTATTTAAAATAAAAAACACCCCAATTTGATGTTATTTTAATTTTTTAAACGTTTAGTTATCTTTTGAAATTATCAGAATGGTTAGAAGTTTTGTAATTTTAGGGAAGTATTGTTCATAAATTAAGTGATCGTAATAACAAACAGTATTTCCATTACAATTTTTAAGAACAAAGGAAATTATAAACTTGTAAACTTAATTAATACAAAAAATTACTCATACAGTTGTCATTATAATAACTTGTTACTTTATTATCAGTTCATGTTTTTCACATAACCTCCTTTTCAATTAAACATCCAAATGGTTCATCATTATAAACATCGTTCAGGAACAATTCATTATTCATAGAAATGTTTGTAAACTTGCGGTGTAAAAACTAAGAGGAAAACTTTCGTAGCTTAGTATCGATTATGCCTTGATCTGAAGAAGATCGTGTCTTGTTTAGTGTCTTAGCTAGTGGGATAAATACTACTTAACTAAGAAAAGTAAAAATGGGTTGAAATAACGATTCTATTTATATCTCATTTAAAAATGGAAGTTGATAGCGATGAAAAAAAAAAAAAATAAAATCGTCTGAATGTCTATCTCGGACTTGTCGAATTATTTTTGGCTCAAAAGTATCTCGTCAAGGTACCAATTATAGAGAGTGGAATTTGAGATTACTTTCAGTTTTTCGTTTATTAGAGATTCATTTAAAATTTTAATATATATCTGTTCAGAATTTGTAAATAAAGTATATATTGTGTAAATATATAATAAAATAAACTACTATAACTATAACTCATGAAGGGTTTTGGGCTCAGTATTTTGTGAGAAAATACTATTTCTTGGTCAATATCTGTACGAGCAGATAATTTGACCAACATGACGCTCAACCGCCAGTGTTGTTTTTTTTCTCTCTTAATTGATTATTGAATTCGAGTTCCCACTTTCTACAGTTTAGATGTATTCCAAGAGTGTCTCCCAACCCCATAGGCTTGAAACCAGGGCCTAAAAAGTGACATCGCAAGCGAAGGTTTGAACGTAAATTAAGAAAGTCTATGTTGTTCTAAGTAAAATGAACCTTGTCTGCCATTCCAGAGCAACTGCTTTCAAAAATGGCGACTGATTTAAAGATTAAAGTTGAAGATATTGTAGGGGAAATATAATGAGAAAAAATTTCATATAATTTACCAACACTAAAAACGTTAGTGGATTTAGAATTTGATATTCTAAAACTTAGTTCTATGCTTTTGTT